TCTCAGATCTTCTGAACGATATCGGCATACCGGAAATATCCTATTTTGATCTCGTATGCTGGATCCCCGCCATGTCCTTCACGGTGATATACAAGCTGGCTTCCCAGACGGCCCCCTTCACCGCGGATGATGTCGCCCTTTATACGGGCGCTTCTGCTGGTATCTCAAAGACCCCGCAGGCCCGCATGGTACCTCATACATCAACATCGCTAGCTTTGGAGCCCATGGCAATGAATTCCGACATCGTGACCACAGCCGCCTTAAGTTCTCCCGAAACACCCACAGCCTACCAGCAACAAGCCAGCGTGCACGACAGCAAGGCCTCGGTGACTTCGATCTCCTCCTCCGACTCTGTAAGCGTAGCCAGCACGGAGCCAACAACCCCCGGGTCCGCCAAGCCAGTCACTGCGCGCGATCAGATGATGTACTCTCTCGGCCATTTCATCGCCTGCGGCATGAGCTTTATAACTGCATATATCAGCCCCATCGAGGCCGCACTCCCAGAAGGGAACCCACTCAGCAATATGCTGACGGGAACGGCAGTGGTCAGCGCCGGCGCCTTGTACATGGCCGATTCTTTTGCTCCTAAAGACCCCATCAAAAGCGAGTTCTGGGACTTCTGGTCGAAAACCATCACAATCATGACATTGAGTAACATAGCGGTCTTTAGTGATACCGCTCAGCATCACCTCTTTCGGACAGGCCACTGTCTACATGTCGCAAATTCTCGCCCTCTAGCAGCCAACATCGATAGCATACTCGTTATCCCAGCCTTTCTAATCACTCTGGAGCACTTCAGCGAGCTCGTCGTAGCTAAAGGGAGTGTGGACCAGGTAGCAGCCTTCGTAGGCGAGCTGTCCAACTTGGCGTCCTACGTTGCACGAACGAATTATTCTGTCGTGATCAACTTGGGAGGACCACAAGCTGCAACGGACGCGGCTGTAGCCATGACATTCGGGAACCTTGCCCAAGCCGGGCTCGAGATGTTTCAATATAAGATTGGCATCGCTCAGGCTAACGACATTAGCGAGAGACAGCGTGGATTGCTACCTTGAAAGACACATGTTTATAATGCTTCCTCCATGTAAAGTATGGCACCTATCACCAATAGTAATCAACGATATACCTTCACTCTCTTCCATAATTAAGGAACTTAACAGAATTGTGTCTATTACGGGTGGAGTGAGATCAAAATGTCGGCTTTCAACACTATAGTTGTCACCACATCATCTCCTTTACTTTTCAACCAACAAATTTCCAGCTAGCTTGCCGAGAAGCCCAGACTAACTCCTCCCGTCCCGCTCGTCCGGAACCCGGAATCAGACCACCGCCGGCTCCCCCATCTCACGAATCTCAAGCGCATGCATGTATCCCACGGCGTAGTGTAGCCGATTACCCCGGCCCACAGGAAGGAATTCAAGATCAAACCTGTATGAGTAAATAAATCCCGAAAAGCGACTGGGCTTTTTTGCGCCGCAGGTATACATAAGACCCGGGTCGGATTGTGGTATTAGGGCCTGGGGGGAACGGACAACATCCGAGGAGGATACCTCACATCAAGAAATTTAAATCCCAGAAAAGAAAGAAAGGGAAGAAGAGAAAAGTGGAAAGGTTGCCAAGTCCTCGGGTTCGCGATGGGGTCAGACCAAAATCTCTTCCAACCTTGCCAACTTCGTACGTGAACACTTCACTAACTGGAAGTATTCCCCTACCCCACGCCCACATCCTTGGGCTCAGCTCAAAGAAGCGACCGGTGTTCTCTCCGCGCACCACGCACGCGTCCTTCCCCCCAGATCCACTAGACCCTCTATCTCAACCCTGACATTGACGGTTTTGACTTACTATACACTATACGGAGTAGCTGGGTCTGGAACCATGCGAAATCTCAGCGCCCAGACTGGAGCGAGTCCGAACAAAACATCTCTGCGCAACAGGGTAAATGAGGGGAAAGGAACATGAGCGGGGTTGCCTCCATTGAAAAAACTCTTGGAGAAATCTGGAGCGAGCGGGACTCACCAACAGCATCACCCCACAACGGACGCCAATTAAACGGTGCCCCAATGAACCAACCCACGGGACGGTGAGCACACGAACCGGCCCCATCGCGACGTTTGGCGCCCACTGCACATCGTACGAGACTGCTTCCAACATCGCGGCATCGCTGATCGCAAATGTCTCACCGCACAGACTGGACGAACCCCGGATGGAGAAGGCCTGGCCGCCTGACGAAAAACCCTGCATTGCACATACCTAGAAAACGTGGAGTCTGGAGATGTCGGGGAAAGGGAGAGATGTGAGATTGCAACGCGGGGAAAAACCTCATACATGATCCATTCCGGGGGTTGGCCGTACAATTGAGAGAATATAAGGTAGTGATATACGTCTGGCAGTAGTGATTTGATAAACCTTCGGATCAAGGACTCTGTATAATTTCTTAATTCCAACCGCAAAAAACCCTTGCCTTGACGTGAGAATTACAACCGTTTGCCAGGGTTGCAAGGGACTTCGCTGTGAAGCACTCTAGCCCTGAACCTAAGGGAGTATGGGCTCAGGCAGTAGACCCAACCAGAACAGCTGCACAACCTAAAGACAGCCCAGCCAAGCCAAAGAAATCATTGTTGAGGCTTCCCTGAGCAAATCGAGAGTGACCCATCGCCGTCTCAAGACGCCGACTGCCAATCTGACTTCTTGAGAAGGCAAGTAGCCGACCGCCGGTTACTGCTCACGCGGCAATAGAAGATAGAGCGGGATAAGTGGGCCCGACCGGTTCCGCCCTCCATCGGGTCTAGCACCATCGATGACTAATTTCCCCTGAAATGCAAAAGAAAACCAGACAGAGACAAGCACTCGCAAGCTTCAACGCCCAGCGACGCCGATACTCAGCCAGCGGCTTGGCGGAAAGCTTGTCCACACGAGCGAAGAAATGTCGTGATTTGAAACAACATGTCGCACACATGTGCTGATCGTCACGGGCGAGTGCGGTAAGACAGGGGGACTTTTTTTTGAAAATGGTATCAATCTTTATATTCATTCATTCGCGCCGTGGCGCTTCACATGGGGTATTGTGTATGGCATCACAGCCATTGGAGGCCTATGCCCGGCCTCCTTCCTGTACCTGTGTACCGTAATTCCAAATCATTCCAGTTGTACTTCTCAAAAGTGTTGTACGTCTATCGCTGAGCCCGGCAGCGACCGATCTTATTCCTTGCGGGTGTCCTCGACGTTGGAGGCCCTGATGCTACCCTTCTCCTCGTCGTGGTCGTCAATCTCCTTGGTCTCGACGGCCTCGCCTTGCACACCGGCGACGGCGTGCTCGAAGCTGCGGCCGCGACGCTCGGGTCCGAACATGGTGGTGACGACAATGCCCATGGCGATGATGGCCGTGGCGATACCCATGACAGGTCCGTAGGCCTCGACGCTGTGGCCTGAAGGGGCTCTGACAAAGGTCTTCTCGGAGATGGCGTTGACAATCTGTGCAGACGGGGACGAAATCATGTTACCCAGCTGGTAGGTGATACCTGGGAAAGAGGAGCGGAAGGCCGGGGGCGAAAGCTCGTTGAGGTGGATGGGAATGACACCCCAGGCACCCTGGACGAAGAACTGCATGAAGAAACCGCTAGCACTCAGGCTGCGCTCGCCCTGGGGAAGGATCCAGGCGGGGATGAGGCAGGCAGAGATGAGAGCAGAGACGATAATGGCACGGCGACGACCGACGAACTGGGACAGGTAACCGATGATGGTGCCACCAACGCAAGCGCCAGCCTTCATGAGAATGGAGGCGCGGGAAGCACCAGCGTTGTCCATCTCCTTCTGAGCAATCATGAAGGTCGTGTACGAGTCTTGCGAGGTGTGGGAGTAGTAGTTGAACCAGGTCATGAGGATGATGCAGTAGACACACATCTTCCACTCCTGGGCCAGCATCTTCTTGGTCTCGCGCCAGAAGGCGCCGGGTGAGGCCGACTTCTTTCCGTGGGCCTTGGCCTCGAGGAACTGCTGGGACTCGGGGAAAGCAATGCGGACAAGACCGACGGCGATGGAGATACCGGCAGCGATCCAGAAGACCGTCTTCCAGGTCTCGGTGCCACCACCGACACCGAGGTTGGCGCAAGCGGCGAGGACGTAGCCGAATGAGTAGCCCTGTTGGAGGATACCGGACATCAAACCACGAGCGTTGGAGCTGGGAATCTGTTAGCGAGCTAGTGACGAAAGGCAGAAGATTGATTGACATACGGGCAGTGCTCAAGAGCCATGGCAATGGCGTTGCCGTAGACACCTCCCATGAAGAGACCGAACAAACTGCGCACAGCCAAGAATTGCTGGAAAGTCTTGCTGTAAATGGTGGCAATCTGCAAAAGACCAAGGATGATCATGTTGAGAACCATGGGCCACTTGCGACCATACTTGTCACCGGCCAGACCGAAGAAGGCGGCGCCGACGGAACGGAGAAGCAGAGTCAGGGTGATGGCAGTGGTGATATCCGTCTTTGAGCGGTCGTAGTACTTGGCCAGCTTAGTGGTCTGGATAGACAAGGCGTGGAAGTCAAAAGCATCGGCGGTCCAGGCGCAGAAACCGCAGAGGAAGAAGAGCCAGTCGCGAGGGCTGAGCTGGGCCATGAGGCTGATGGGGTTCTTGATTGGGTCGGGATCTTGCCATTCTGTGTGCGTCTCGCCAGTTGGACTAACAACAACGGTACGCTGTCTCCAGATGAAGAGGTCCTTCAAGGACTGCTTGGCCGTGGCCAGCACGCCCTTGGCGACGGGGTCGGCGGGCTGCGCAGTCGACGTCGACATGGTGGATGTCTGTCTGCGTTTGTTGGCTCTCTAAGACACGGTCAAGTGTATGAGGGACTGAGGTGGTTGAAGATGATGTCGGTGATCAAGAGAGAGGTAAAGGAGGAAGAAGAGATGAGAGGATGAGGCACGACTGGTTGAGTTCAACAGAATGGGATGAAGAGGGGGGCACAAAGCTTCTTCATATAGTTGGGCAAGCCATCGATAGCCATGCAGGTTGGCGAATCATCAGACCGTCCATCGCGTCGGTGCCAAGAGTTCACCAACATGGAGCAGGTGGATAAGGTGGTTTCGAAGGAGTTGAGAGAGACAAAAACAAAGAGCACCGGTATCGAGGTCCAGAGTGACCGGGATGGCACCGACATGCTCATGGTTTCGAAAGCGATCATCTCCCATGATGGAACGCTGCAGTGAGAAGCGTGATGATTAGTGCGGGCAGGCTGGCCAATGGAGGCCAGAACTGTTTCTGATGGATGCGTGGGGAGGTCGGAGTCAATGATGCGGGGTCGGCGTCGGGGAAGAGGACAGGATGAGCATGGTGAGGAGACCAGAGGGAGGTATGCTACATGGAAGCTAGATTTGCTAGATGGCAGCTAGAGCTTTCTAGCCGGGAGAGTAGAAGAGCGTGCGGCGTGCCTCGATACGGATACCATGCAACTTGCGAGTAGCACGAGAAAAGGCGGCAGACAAGGGGGTCGAGGAGACCGGGGTGTTTGTTCCATGCCCATGCCCATGGTGGTTGGCGAAGTACGATCCCGAGAGAGAGCTAGGGAAAGCTAGGGACCACGAGGATTACGAGGGCGCGGACCATGTTGGGATATTGCATACGATGGCGTTCGTTGGCAAGGGAGAGGAAGCAAAGCCAGCGTCTGGTCTATGCCCACTACGGAATTCCACGCGTGCGGGAGACGGCCTTCACTCCGGCACATGATGGATCACCCCATGCAGCCGGCTTCTCAGCTAGGTAGCAAGCTCCCTACTGGCGAGGCATCTGGATGGGGAAGAGGTCGGTTGGCGTTTGTAATGATGAACCGTGGTCCATGGGTCAAGCGTCCGTCTCCCGGCATGTCCCAGTGCGGCAAAGTGAGATGCGATATGAGGCGGGATCCAAGTTAACGCGCATCATGTCGAATCCACTGGGAGTCGCCGGCCGAACACCCTCTTGTCTCCATGAATGGATTTCATTTCGGGTTGGTATGCGTAGGAGAAAGTGACGACGGTGTCCGTTTGGTCGCACAAAACGTGTCACACGCTTCCATCTCTCTTGTCTTGGTGTCTGTACTCTATGGTTTCGGGCATGGTACAGGTTGCGCTGTAGCAGACCAGAATAGGAAACAGTGAAACGAATGGCACGTAGTAGACCCGTTGGAAAACGACTCTCGATTACTCAGTCATGGCTGGCCTTTGTCGCGATACAATTCTGAATGGCTCCGTTGCAGTGGTAGCGATAGCTGTGATGTTGCGCTGTCGGAGCAGTGTAAGAAACGGATGGAGTTGAGGGCCAAGAATAAGCAGGTTGGAACGCTAGGAATAGCAACGGGGGTTCGATGGCGGCGGTAGTGTGCACTGTGAGAAGTGAGAACCAACGCCAAACGGAGCCAGGAAGGAACGAAAAAAAAGTTACCTTAGTCAGGGCCGCGAAAAAGGGTTAGGATGGAGCGAGTGCAGAAAAAGTTTGCGCCTCACACGTCCAGGAGGTCTTGGCTGTCTGTGTTGGGGTTTGGTCTGTGGAGAGTTGGATGGGGGCGATTGAGCAATGTTGCATCACGGCCGAATCCTTCGATGGAGCGGGAGGGAAAAGGTGTGTGTGCGTTTGTGTGATTTTGTGTGTGTGTGTGTGTGTGTGTGTGTGTGTGTGTGTGTGTGTGTGTGTGTGTGTGTGTGTGTGGGAGAAGAGGAGACCGGAGGGAATGGAAGATGAGCAGCAGAGTCAGAGTCAGAGTCAGACAATGGAGATGGTCAGAGGTAAGGAGTACGTACTCTTCCATTAGATGTTGGATGACGGGAGATGTTGGATTTGGGAAAGAATGAGGGAAATGCAAGACAAACGAATGGGAGGCACTTGAGCAGCATGACCCACCAAGTCACCATCACGCCTGCCTTCATTTTGTCTTCTCTTCACGATGATTTAGAGTTCCTTCCCGATCCAGCAGGGACCTGAACCTAAGGGAGAGCGAGGCAAGGAAAGCGCGCCTTCACTGGCGTCCCGTGACTCCTCTTCTTTCCTTTGTCGATCGGTTGCTGCCTTCCAGAAGGAGCGCCAGAAGACATCCCGTCCACCAAGGTAGATACGTACATCGTAAGCATTCGACCTGAGGAAAGTCACGCTCGACTCCGGATATCTCAGTTGCACCTTCTTCGCGCGAGACTGTGCTCCTCTCAAATTATGCTTCTTCCATGCCTCGCACTACTGCCGCCACCTGGTTGCAACTTGCGAGAGAGGGGGGGAACAAGCGACACCAAAATCGCCAGCGCCAATGCCAACACCAACACCAACACCACAAATCGCAAGCGTGGGAAAGGAACGCAGGCAGGCAGGCAGACGGGCAAGGATGGGCCACGCTGACCAGACGTCGGCCAAGTCGCCAAGACGCAACGGGCGATGAGTCTGCCAAGAAAGTGCTTGTGTCCTCCTCGGCAAGCCATCCCGTCACGCCAAGTTGCTCGGCGCTGCGAGGGAGTTGAGTAAATTGTCGCCGCACTTGACGACGTCGACGACAACTGAACAATATCAATGAGGTGAGGTCACAAAAATGTCGTCAAGTGAGGTCGTTTCGTCGATTCCAGCAGAGCGGTTCGCGAGATCAAACGAACACGTCTGACACGTTTGACAGCTCCGCGAACAGATTTCCCCCAGATGATCCCCCATTGGATTAGCAGATAGCCGATCCCGCACTGATGGGTACCTAGGTAATGGGTGATTGGCAATGCCCGCCCAATGCACTAGCAGCCAGCCAGCGTCCGTCCCACCGTACAAGATGATGGGGGAACGGGGAAATAAGCTTAACGGGCGTTGTGGCCTGATGCTAACAAGTTAGCACCATCCGTATTACTGCCGACTACTACTGAAAAGAAGAAAATGTCTCTCATCTGTGTTGTCTCTTGGCCAATGAGAAATGTATCATGGGCCATGGTGGAGGGCAAAAATACAAGTGACAATGGAAGTCGAGGAAATTCGCGCACTGCTATCCGCCAATGGCCATGTAAGTGTTGCAACTTTGGAACCCAGTTGCCCAAGCGTCAATACCTAGCAAATGGCACGCTACAAATACCTAGGTAGTACATTGGTGAGTGTGAGTGTCCACCAACCCGGACTACTGCGTGTCCATTCTTCTTCATCCCCGCGACCCTTTCAATTCCCCAGAGATTCTCAAGTCGGGGCCCCAGGATGGTCCGTCGAAACTGTCAAATGGTCTGCTGGCTCCGTATTACTTGCGCATTCCTGGCATGGCCACGATACTCGTCACCTTTGTGGGCGTCTAGTTGGATAGTCCGTCGGAAGGCAGTCCCACCCCTACTGTCACTGCCTCTGCCACTAGCTGACACTGGCTCCTTCCCTACCTTACTTCCTTCCTTCCACCGTTTCTCGATACCTCGTACCTTCCCCCGTCGCTTGTGAGGAAAATGACAAAGACGGTTCTTGGGAAGGCACGACCGGGGACAACCGGGGGCTCCCTCCGTCGGGCGCAACACCGATAGCGCCAACGTCTCCACTTCCCCCTCCTCTGGCCTGCGAATATTCGGCCATCTTCCGAATTATTTTCTCACAACTTCATCACCTCTGGCCAATGGTATCTTCCGTATTCGCCCCCTCACATTCTCCGCATCACCGTTCCCCACGGGCAAATTTCCCCAATCTCTGTTTCCCCGGCCTCCAGATGTCAAATCTACAGTCTAGCACGTCTAGCACGTCTAACAAGGACTGGAGTCTGGAGTCATCCGCCTGAGATCGTTCTTCAATCCACCTCATGCCGAGTCATGCTGGGTCAAATGGCCCAAGGCCAAGGTACGGATACTCCATAGTCGCATCTAGGGTTCCTCTCTGCTGGTCATCACCACCACCAACTGAACCATCCACGGGCTACGGTTTATCATGAGTATACGACATCGCAATGTTTGCCAAGACTTTGTACCCTCAGAAACCACGCCATTGCCTCTGACTTGCTTGCCGCCAACGGAGCGCCAGTCAGCCAAAACTCCTCCCACATCCCAGTCGCTACATCCAAGCTAATGTACCGCACAGAGCAATCATACCTGGACTGCTTCCAGAGAAGCCCAAGAGGCTGATAGCCTGATGCGACTTGCCCCGGCACTCGACCTCTCCGACCACCGCTGACCACTCACCTCACCTCACCGGCCACCGTCCCTCCTCTCGCCTCGACTTGCCCGCCCCTCGTCTAAACTCAACCTGGAAGGACGCCCGCCCCTCGCCGTAACGTGGGAGAGTCCTTCAACCACGTATCGACCGTCCGTAATCACAAAAGTGTCTCTCGCCCGAATCTCGTTTCCCCGTCTCCCCATCTTCCCCACCTCTCCAACAACATCTCCCCCGTTCAACCCCAAACCCCGAGTATTTCTTGCGGAGAAGAACGGGTCCATCATCCTCGCCAAACCGGGCCCTTTTCGCAAGCTCAACAACACCTGGCCGGCCATGCGCCTGTCTGCACCAGTGCATTCTCCCATCACCCCACCTCCGTCACCACCCACCACTCGACTATGCTCCGGCGCGCATCCTAATCCTTACCGCAACGAGGCAAAACATCTGCAGGCGCATCTCCCGAGCGTTTCGAGATGCTTTCCAGCCTTCTGGCCTCTGCTCCGGCGAGCTGCCGCGGCGTGCTACCCTGGGTTTTTGGAATACTACCGTGCCCGCCGGCCGCTATCATCATACCATGGGAGATGCGCACCGAGAAACTCAAGATCCCACCGTGAACTTTGTCCGAATCATTCAAATTCGCCGCTCCCAAACGGCGGTGAGCCGCAGGGCTCCTTTACGACACCACCAAAGCGCCTGTCAGTAGAAGTTGAAGGTCCCCGATCTCTCAAACTCGCAACTTGTGCAGATACCACTGTACCTTCGGTCCAATCGGGCGATCTTGAGAGTCGAGGCCACAGCACCTTGGTTGACACCAATCGAACGGCTGCTGACGAGCCTCCCGCTGCCCCGGCCAATGTCTCACAGCTAAAGCCTTCCCCGGCGAGACTAAGAATACTTCTAGAAGCCTAGAACCTGGAAAGGCCGCACATGCTCGTATTTTTGGAATTGCGTCGCAACTAGCTTCCCAACCTCTTCACATATGGACTGTGGTATTGATATTCCGACATTCATCGCTAGATATCGCCCGGTGGGTTGGTTCTTATCAGCATGTTTCGGAGCACCGCGCATGTTTGAGAACGCCTGGCCTGTGACACCCTGTCTGTGCTGCTTGCGACGCTGGGAATAGCTTGCGACAGGATGTTCCCACTCTGCTTGTTTCTGACAAATTCAGGGTCCGTCGCATGTGCTACGCAACGCATTCGAGTGCTAAGATTAGATGACAGTAGCAAGAAACAAAACGACATCAGTATGCACATTTGTTTCGCTTCAGGACATTGTTGTTGGGGTCCGACGTGTCCGAAGTGACGGTCCCTGGTCGAACTAACTTACAAGCAACCCAAGCTCCAGATACAAGAAACGCCAAGGCCCCCGAGTCCGTTTTCCCCCTTTCCTTGGCTAGGCTTTTGCTCAACATCAACAACGTGGCGGCTACCTCCTGCTTGGCAGCAGACATAACAAGACGGGCACGAGAATTCCTCGCACACCACTAGGCGCTGTGCCATGAATCGCGGCTCCGCTAATGGAGGGACAACCAAGAGGTCAACCGACTTGGCTTACGCACCATTGGCACGACCTGGGAGCTTGTTTGCTTAGCTTTGGTCGAAATCGTCTCCGATGATGAATCCAACCATACACGCCACCTTCTCTTCGAGCCGCTAGCCTACCGAACGCCCGCCTGTAGATCGGTCTTGCTCCTGGGTCAGCCATTTGTTCCGGAACTTCTTCGTGGCCCCCAGCTAGGGGCAAGGCTGCCATTCCTGCGGTGGCGGCTTTGCAGAGGCCAAGCATCAACATTGACGACCATCGGCTCCATGATGGGCCCGTCTCTCCATTCCGAAGTATGTCGGTTGATGAATTTCTCCGCTCACTTCGAGATCCTGGGGATCTCGAAGGCCTTCTTGCAGATCCGGGGATATACGGAGATTGTCCTCCCTTCTGCTGCCCATCTCCCACCCGTCGATGCGGGGTTTAAGATCACAACTATATCAGCTGAAAACGATCACAGCCAGAACCCACACTGGCAAGCGCGGAAAGAGAAAAGCCGAGCTTACGATTTTCCACAGTGAAGCTTGGCCCAATGGATATTGCCTTGGCATCTTACGATGTTCAAAGAATAGGCTTGAGGCTGTGTAAGTATCTTATGCAACACGCTTGCCGTGATGCTGGTCTCTATCGTCTCTCTGCGTTCAGTCTTCATATTTCTCAACTTTTCTCAGCCGCTTTGCGTTCCTGAGACACAAGCCATTGGTTGTCCAGTGTCTTGCTCGATTCTTTCGCCTTGCATTTCGCGAAAAATCGAGGGCGGAGCTAATCGGAGCCTTCCGGAGGAGCCACCTCGGCCATGTATCTGGATACTGATGGTCCGCTTGTCTCTTTGCGAGAAGTTGTGACAATAAGCGAGATCAGTGAATAGGGGACATAATTTGAGTTTATTAGTTGGCACGAAGTCCTCCGATAAGTTTTCGTCTGGGAATGGGGTCATCTAGCCTGGTCAGCGACTGTCTTCTGAATGACTACGCCCCTTCCATCATGCCCTATTAGATTCTGCATTGCACACAACGCATAGAGTACCGCCTTCCCTGGTTCAGGAACTTCAATCTCCTGGAAGGTTGGGTGGTCAAATGCATTTGTGAAGGCGGCGTGTCCATACTCATAGTCTGGATAACCATGAGCCAGAATCATTCTCTTTGCGAGTCCTACCACGACCCTACAACATCTGCTCCATCGGGCATCTACAGATCCCGATGTACTACTTCTGCACATTCTGTATATTCTAGACTAAGTAATCCGCAAGCAGGGCGAGGTCTTTGACAGGCAGTCTTGTAAGTTCATCGATTTATTTCAGTATTTTTTCTCAATCGTCACAAAACGAACACAAAGGAATCGCACGCTCGGTTTCGCGTAGTCAAATCATATGCCATAGTTATGCCATGAATTACTACTGCTAGTACTGTCATTGTAGCGCGAGCCTGCACCGAATATTTCCTCCACCCAGCCATCACCAACTCGACCGACCTCGAAACCCCTCTGGACACCTCAGAATCAGACGTGCTTGAGGAGACCGTTCCTCGAAAATGATTTAGCTTCTCGAGGGCCTCAAACCATCAAACTCACGCCATACTCCACCAGCTCACTCAATTTGCGTTCCTCCTTGTGCCAAGATAACGCTCCGACTCGTCGGGTCTCGATCCCCATACGAGCTCCTCTGTGAAGACCGCAGCGGCGTAGTCCGTCTCGTCGCCGCAGACGCATTCGCAGTTCTCTCCCTCTTCCTCGGCACGTACACGGCAGGCCTCTTCTCCCATTCCTGTCTACGATTTGAATCGTGGTGCAAAGTCTTCTCAGCTGCCCTTCGCTGCGAAGAAGTCTCGGGCGCTGATAGACTGCGCTGTCGGCGATCTCCAGGCGGTGTTGCTTTGGAGCTTTTTGTCTTGCCACTGACTCCTTCTTTTCCCCGTGTGACCGTTCCTCTTGACCCGTGGAGGTCCCTCCATGGAGCTATTCTTTCAGCCCTTCGTATATGAGGTGGCTCGTCGTCACGGTCATTGTCGTCGAGGAGGTCCAGAGTAGCGAGCCATTCCTTTGCCTCGCGGGCGTGCTTCTCTACTAATGCGGCGCGCTTGAGATGAGGTCTCTGTGAAGCTTGTATTTCCTCAGCCGTCAGCACGCCGCCTAACGTTTCGTTCTCGCCCATGATGATACCAATACCGGACATGATCGCCACCAACGCGAAGTCGTCGTTCAAGAAGGGAGTCTCTTTTGCGTTAGGGGGAATGGCAGCGGAGTTGAGGAATCGGAATCCTGTTCCAAGGTACGGTCGCGAGGGGTCAATTGATATCATGGCGACTAACTCTTCGTCTACTTTGGCATAGCCTCCCCTTCCGAGGTACGACTGTCGTGGAGCTCTCAGGATGCGAGTCTCGTCGGGCGTGCGTTTCCGCTAGAGAAGCCACCCGTCTGAAAGGCGTAGTGTCCGAATAGATAACCCTCGACTATGCCTCCATTCGAAATCGACATCGGTCGTCATCTCCGCCCAACAAGGATCCCGAAGACGCATCGTGAAGCGCCATAGGCCCTGATACCCTCTCCCGCGGATGATACGGCTGAAAAGCGAGCGGAAGCCCAGAGCGTTCCCTTGTCGACCGCGGTCTTCGTGGAGGAGGATCTTGGGGGTGTCGCTGGAGTTGCTTTCACGGCGGCGGGGGCGCGAAGGGAGGGGAGACTGCGGTTGTTCGAGGTGGACTTGCATGGTGCGACGGGTCTTCTAGCCCGGTAGGCTTACGAGGCGGTGGGTGAGGTGCGCGATGATGGGTGCGGTGGAGAAGGGGCCTGCGTGGATGTTGATGCCGATTGCGTTGTCTGTCTCGGAGGGTTCGGCGTCGTGGGAGAGGTAGAAGAGGGGGTTGTTTGCTGTTTCGGCGAGGCCTGAGTCGAAGATTGAGAAGATTGGTGGGAGGAGGCGGGGGATTGGGGAGGGCATGTTTCTTCTCGTTTCTCTCTGTCCTTGTGTAGTTGGTAGATGGGTCGATTGCTCATGTTGAATGACTGGTTGGAGGCTCCATGATGATATTTGTTGTGCTTTGATCAGCTTCTGAGACGGCTCGGATGAGGATGGAAATGGGTTGGGCCGGTGATACCTTGGGAAGCCTTCCTACCTGGGAGGAAGGTACCTAGGTATCTTAGGTACTCAACGTGTTGCAATGTCCTTAAGGCGGCAGTGTCCTCGCATACATGTTCGATTCAATGCCTTCCGTGCAAATCCAAGTTTTTGTTGCCTGGATTGAGTCCTAGGAAGTTACCACAAGGCAGAACCTGCAAAATGTCGTCCAGCCATCCTGTCAACGGTGCCGCTCCGGAACGACCCACTCAGGCGGTCCGAACCGGCGCATGCCGGACCGGTGCCGCTGCGGGGTTCGTCCGGCAGCCCTGCAGCACACCCGCACAATAGATCGAGGCTTCACGGTCTATGCGCGGACGTGATATCGAAATCCTTTGCGCATGATTGCATTGTTTGTTATCTGTACTTCAGCGATTCGGCCAATTCCGTCCTGTGAAACCCAACATGACGCCCACCTCGGAAGCGGTCGGCCGACCACCTGCATCTGCTAATTGAAATCAAAAGGTACTCTGTTAAGAATCAATCATGCTACATGCGAAGTCGGGTACCGTTTCCCGTCTATTCAGCTGTGATGAATCCGGAACATCTCCGAGACACAAAGGTATGGTGGCTAATCGGACGGCCATTGCCATTGCACGATAGGATATTGATCTAAGACATCAACGACTGTTAGGCGTCGAAGAATGCGAAGCCATTCAGCTGAACCATTGTCATGAAAGTGCATCACGGTTGCCTCAACCCTGTCCAGACTGGGTAGCAGGAATTTTGGCATTCAAGCTAGAGTCATCACATATCTTGAACATCCCTCGGGTAAGGTAAGTGTAATAAATAAGTTGGGCATGTGGTATTGCCCGGCCCGGTTCCTTGAAGTATGAAGTTCGGGTTAAAAACCCCTCTCTTCTCTTTCCATTCGTCACTTCTTACTTTGCCCTGCTCTCGGGGCTTCTTCTCCCTTTCCACTTGGCTGGCAAAGAGCTCCCCGTCTCCAATCCAATCTCAGGAGAGTAACCGACTACGACGTTTCTTCGATAGACCAAGTTCGCCTTCACGATGAGAGCTTTATTTTTGATATTGGTTGGCTTGGTATCCAACGTAGCAAGCCAAGATTACAGCAGGGTCTTGCTAGGATGTGGCCAACCTGGCAACTTCCAGCAGACCTTCACCTTGTTCTCCACCAATTCTGCCAACAGCGTAGAGTTTTGCCGAACAACTTGCTTGGTGAACAACTCTCGTTCGTTCGGCGCGCTCTTCAACGACCAATGTTACTGCAGCAATGCAGGCATCGCCGCTATCCAGTTCACACCTGACAGCATCACTAATTGCAACATCCTCTGTCCCGCAGATTCCTCCGTTAGATGTGGCGGTGCTGTCAGCTCTGCTCAGTATTTCAGCGTGTACGGCTTCAATCCCAGAGCCTCAGACTCTTCCAGCTCGTCCAGGTCATCGACCCTGACAACTTCCTCAACATCCACCGACACAGGTAGCACAACTACTACAGGAACGAGCGGTACTGATACCTCAACAACCTTGACCTCGTCATCTTCCAGTACCTCGAGCTCCTCAAGCAGCGGGTCAACAATCATCGTTACAGATTCTAGCACTACTTCTCCATCTTCACTCGTCTCCACCTCGACATCCTTGACAAGCTTCAGCAATACTTCTACAACTTCAACGCAATCATCAACTACCTCTTCTTCGAACTTGGGAACAACTTCATCCACCAGCACCTCCAACACCGATATCTCCAGGACTAGCACGGGGCTTTCTACCACCTTGAGCGTGAACCCAAGTGCGAGTTTGAACGCCACAAGTAGCAGCGGAACAACGGGCTCTTCCTCTTCATCCTTCATAGGCTCTTCCTTGACATCCGGGAGCACAGGAACGTCTACTTCTACGCCTTCCGCCACTGCCAGCACGACCAGTAGCAGTGGGAGCTCAGGATCATCCGTCATATCAAGCTCCACTACAGTCGTTAATTCTTTGTCTTCTGTGACTTCTTCATCTACGATTTCTGGCTCTCCGATATCAAGCTCAAGTTCGAACCCCTCGACATCCGCGACCACACCAAGCACTAGCCAGACGAGCGTCCAATCGAGCACATCCTCTGCATCACAAGCTTCTTCCTCTGGGGCTCTATCCACATCGCCTACAATATCTTCAACCACCCAGACAACAAGCACGGCCTCGGCTTCTCAGATTACTGCTGGCTTTGTTCTCACTGTTTCCATTTTGCCTGCTGCCACTGCATCGGCTGGTTGAGTGATATGATGTGTCAAAGGAAAAGGGGGTGGCGCGAGACAAGCAGGGGAAAGACAGCAAACCAGTTGAGTACCCTTTGGCGTCGGGCACCTGAAGAGAAGTCTTTTTGGCGATATCTAAACCATAGAAATGGGGGTACGGACAATTCATGTAATTCAATTTGCTTGTAGCTGAAGAACAGCACATACTCAATAGTCAGACAGAAAGATATCACTGCTATGACCTTGTTGTCCCTAAGATAGTCAAGCGTGTATTGAAAGCCGATCTTATCATTCTTACTTATGTTATTCATGCTTGATCACTTGGTTCTTTACTTCCCATCGTTGTTACGGGGCCTATGTATAGGCGTGGCCACAACATGCTTCGCAACGACATACGTTGAGCAGCTCAACCAAGTCAATTCCACTGAGATTGATTGAAGTAGGTATGCTTGATAATGTTGCGGTATTACGCACAGTGGTAATCACATCTTGAAACTGGACTAGACTAAATTCCACCTAATTGAGAAAGTCGACAGGTATCAGTAAATACTTAGATTGGTAAAGGCATTGATTCACGAACTTTACCTAGAAAAACATGTTGTCTTGATGCCTCTACACAGCCTAATGCTTGTACGAAGGGCTTAAGTCGTATTTCATGCTTTTCAACTGGCCATGCAGTCGAGTATTGTAACTTGAAGATGGGAGATAGTGTAACAAGATGTGTTTCCTGAGTAGTCACAGGCATTTACCGGTGATTCGAGGCCGAGGGCTCTGTAAACATCATCAAGAGCTATGATATCCTGTAGGTCCCAGGAGTAGTCTCCTTGATCTTTTATACCAGCTATTGAGGACAATATATAGCCTGTGACTTAGTATCGATCAATGTCTGTTTCATTCAAGTCGATATTGTTGGAAAAGCGCATTATTGCCCATATCTAGTAACGACCTTCTCCGTTCTTGGCGAAAAGTGACTCTGGCAATCTTTACTCTAGAGTATTGTATCGAGCTCCATATGAATTATTTAACAACTCCTATTACACTGTTGTGAAGAGTTGTGTAGCGGGCTTTCGATATCTCATCCAACCACAACAACACACGTGGAAACCAAAGACAACAGTCATTCAGCACAATAGTCGAACCTTGGAGAGATCAACAAAACAACCACTGACTCTCCGTTGCCATAGCATTCTTCTCCCGCCGACAACAGTCTCCCCGTCGTAAGCGATCAACTGGGGAGAATGTTCGATGGATCCCCCTGAAATGAAGGAAATTCCCCGATTTGATCCACACGTGCGTGCTGTCTGCGAACCGGATCCGCCCCAAAATTTCTCAGCAGCACACGGACCGTCGACGGCCCATCGTGAACAAGCCTCGTGGGAAAGGGACAGGGCCCAGGGGACCATGCATCGTTGGGCTGCGATGGGAGATTACGCAGTCTTACAACCCGACTCTACTGGGGGACGGGGGGCTTCAAGCAAAAACAGCAAGGGGGTTATTTGCCGCAGGTCTCGAATGTGACAAGTCGAATTTCTTTCTTCCACCTTGTTTATGAGAACCATGTGGATGAATGACTGGTTGCGGACTTCACGATGGCTTCATTTCCAAGGACAGTGATGCCACTGGAACGTCCACCGGCATAGCCGAAGCCCTGCACACCAACTTTTTACAACTTGGCAACGAAATGAGGACGGCTGCCAATATCATGCTTCAAGGGGTGCACCGAACTTTTTTTCCCTTACCGAATCCTAGTTACCAGGTCACGAAAGTAAGAAAAGAATATGAGAAAGGCATAACTGTTCCTGATATCAGGTGGGCCCGGGAGTGTGGTAAGTTGCCGCGGACCCGTGGCGTAGCGGCGTGGGGGTCGCCCATGACGGTGTGTTGCATTCGGCTTAGACGAGCCATCACGGTAGGTGACATTTGTCACCGCACGAGAAACAGTTCGGTCAAGCTTTTTCACGGCGATGTGTTTTGGCTACCTCCCTGGCCGTTTTCCTGCGGCCACCTTCCCATTCGTGCCTTGATGTTCTCATGTCTTCGCGAATTGTCGGTGGGTAGCATTGATATCGGCCCTACGGCTAGTTTTCAAACCAAGACTTGACGATGCGGCATAGTCACTGAAGCCCGCCCGGGTTGCAGATGTGACTGAGAGAGAGGCACACGCGTCAACGGATGGCTGTTGAGATGATAGCATCACATGTCGGATGCAATGTTGAATGCAGTGTCGAGATTGCGAACCTTGCCCTGAATCACGGCAGGCTGAGCATGTTGGCCGTGTTGAGTCAATACTGCTGCAGCATCACGAATCACCGACGACATGTTATCAAAGTTTTGCGTCGCAGCAAGCCAGCATCTCACCCGTCGTCATGCTGCATGCCGGTGACCCAAAAGGGGGTGGGAAGCAAAATAAAACAGCCCCCAAATGATGTTGGCCCTTTTGCCCAGCACAGCGCTCGTTTCAAGCTGAACTCTGACTTCTAGATCATCCAATGCCGGATGGCACTTGGAAACGTGTGGTGGATGCTCGGCGCGGACTCACCCGCCGTTGACTAGACTGCAATGCTTCTCACCTACTGATACATACTTCCATCTTCAAGCTGCTGCTAAGCTAAGATAGTTCGGCCACATCATCAATGATCAGCCCGTAAAACAGAGTTTGTGTTTAGCCCGGCTGCAACTTCCGGACCATCTGCGATGCTGCGATGAGAAGAAAAAAGTGGTTGACACACGAACCACGAGATGGCCCCGATACCGCCCTCGTTTCGGACGGGACGCGGCCTAAAGTGGACCATCACCGACCGGACGAAGAAGGTCTCATCTTATTTTAGGACTTGGGCTCTACCGACACAGTTTTGGTTTCCCTAGCAGGTCCAGGGCTCAACGTTCTGCAATCTGTGGAGTTTTTTGTAGCGGAAAATCTTATCGTGTGACAAAAAATTAGGACTTGGGAAATGGTCACAAGAAAGAGAGAAACTCCACTGTTGGGAGAGAGCTCTTCCCTCTATCCGTAGGGGTCTAGACAAACATGCCTCTTCATTCCCTTGCGCACATCACACCAGGGGCACCCGATGGGAGTTGTCGACAGGGTTTACGCCGCTATGAAAGATGGAAAGTGCGAGGGGGCACGGATAGTCAAATTGCCATGTGTGTGGATCGGGAGCATTGGGCTGGAACTTTGAACAGGGCTTCCCGAAGCGTGATGGATATCACGATCATGAGGCGAGGCAGAGATTTAAACCGCAATTTGACAAACAATCAGTTGGATCAGAAGGATTTGGAGTCGTGAGGGGTTCCACGCCGCAGCAGAGGCGTGTCAGAGTACATTCTGGCCCCTGGATCCTGGCTTCAAGATACAAAACCCATTCCTTCCCTCGGATCCTGTACCGAATGCAGCTTAATGGGAAGAGAGGGGAAAGACGGGATAGCTGCAGGACAGTCACAGTTGGGGCCCCGGGGGCGACTTTATTGTGGAATGGAGCAATTTTTGGGGTTCCGCCGAGTAGGAGAAATGCGAAAAGGCGATGGCGCAGAGTGGTGGGAAACTCGGCCGGATCGTGAAAGTCTTTTTGGAGAAGAGGAGATGGGGACCTGAGGGGGAGAAAGAGAAAAAGAGGATATCTCGAAATATGGATCCAAGGCTCGGGATTTCCGGATTAGGGAAACCGAGAAGAGGGACGTGGAGGGGACGTGAACCTGTGAAAGCTGAGTGAGTCGACGATGCGCGACAGGGGGCCCCTTTTTGTCATCACACGGACGAGCGAGACATAAGCTGGAACGGCCGATATATCCACTCCCGGCCGCCTAGTGGAGAGGTCAAGAAGAGTATCCGTACGGATAGGTAAAATGATTGAGTGTCCGTGGTTGGGAACCGACAAGTACGCGGGCTGAAGACGATGGATTTCGGTACCTTGCGCAAGGAAACAGGCGAGGAAGGAGGAGCTTCGTCTTTGCAGCTTGCTTGGAATCAGCGGAATCCGGTGTAGAGCTTCTCAAGGCTTGAGAGGACGACCTGGAGCTCGGAGGGGTCACCCCATCTTCCTCCCGTCGCGGCAGGGCGGTCTAGAACGGCGGCCGAAACTCTTTCTTGCGGTGGGATGGATGGGGGGTGTGTGGACGGGTCTGATTCACGATGGTTGATGCTCCTCCCGGTTCCGGTGTCCCGGGCGGCACGGGAGGGCGGGCAAACGCATACACGCAACGCACGGCACACACGCACGCACACACATCTGTGGTGTCAATCACGACTTAAGTTCGAATGAGATTGGCAATCTGTGTTGGCAACGTCGGTGCGCGGCATGAGTGATGGACGGCGCGCCGCATGGATGTTGTGATAGGGGGGTGCTTAGTAGGAGGGGGCCCAAAGATGGTGAACGGGCGTCACAGCCTCACTCAGGATAGAAACAGTAGATCGGTCATCGGTGGACATATTATGGTCGCGACCGTTGCCGTGGTAGTGTAGTGTAGTAGTTCTATCAGATACGAGGGTTACGCGCGTAGACTCGTAGCTTGTAAGAGGAGTTTTGCTGACCGAGGACAAAAGGTATGATAGATTGGATCGTTCGAATGACGAAGAACAACAAGTACCGACGACAGTGAACCTTGGGACGAATCAGGATCGCCAACTCAAAGTCAGATCACAATTCCAAGGAACGCTGTACAGATGTTCATGTGATAGTGGGGTCTGTTTTACATCATCGAGTAAGGGTCGTTGTCCGTTCCGTCCTTCGTTCGAAGGGGACCCGGAAGATCAACGAGCCAGTTGGAAAACGAACAGCAGAGCCTCTCGAACGTATCACTCTAGGTGGTGTCCTGTCAAGGACGCATATCAAAGAATAGCAACAGCAGAGAATGTGACGGTAGGAGCCAAGCTGAGTTTGGACATGGACCTTCGTTCGTCTCTCGCTAGGCGGAGTTAGTCGGCCATCCGGGAGGGTGGGAAAAAGGGGGGGCGTGTGGGATGGTCATGTTTTTGTCGATGCTTCACCGTTCTCCCCTACGTCATATAGTCTCGCCATGGCGCGTCGACCGGTTTTCGCAACTGCTGGCACCGGTGGCTCGGGATGGACGCAGGCGGCCGCGCGAGCGACGACAGGCGAGAGAGAGAGGGCTGCAGTGCTGCACAATTTTCTTTGCATTTTTTGCCATTGGCTAGGTTCCGCGCTTCGGATGTTTGGCCCGGGAGACAATGGACGGACAGATGTGAACACTGCAGACTGCAGTCCGCATAGGGGCTAGCCAGCGCAGAGATGCTCTGCCAGATCGGGGGTTTCCATTCTAGCATACGCCACTCCAAGCCCAGCAATGACAATGCCCGCCCGCGGCGGCGTCAGGGGTGCCATGATGTTCGGCCAGGGAGCTGCCCTGATTGTTTCGTCTGTTTGGCTTTTTGGAGCCCTGGAGCTAGCAGGGGACGGAGGGGTTCCGATGGCAGGCTTCGGAGTCATGCGAGAGATGACAATTTCTGGAGGGGGGGTTTTTGTTTTGAGAGGTTCTTTTGTGAGAAATGAATGCGTGTGTGTTCGAATGGGACTGTTTCTGATAATCCATTACCCGCCCAGGTACGCCGTTGATGACGGGATGATCTCGAAACGGGATGACACTGTGACACATGGTAAGTTTACAGAGGGTGAGAGTGATTGTCGTTCTGAGGCATTGCGGCGAAAAAGTTGAGATTTGGATGAGCGGTGATCTTAGGGTAGAGCAGTTCGGTAGCAAATGATGTGTGTCTGAGCTGACACGAGCAGGTAATACTGGTACTGCCGAACAGGAGTGAGAGTGACGAGTGAAGAACGAAAAGGAGCATTCCAGAGAGAAAACTCAAGCCAAGGCGGCGAAATGACGACTACTGGAAAGGTTATGGCAAATAGCAAGCAAAGTCTCGGCCGGGCGCATTCTGTTATCTCAATCGGCCCTACGAACATCGAAGCAACCGATTGGGATGCAAGATTGGTTCATCGATCACATCTGCGACAGCACTACGGCAGTGGTTGCTTCTTCTTCATGTGCTCGCTGGCTAGCCATTCGTAGTTCTCTCTCACTCTCTAATCTGTCTGACTCTAGCCGCCGCCCGTGCTTGGACCTACCACACCTCCGAAGTGCTTCCCGTCCACACCCTCTCTAACCTCTCACAGGGAACATGGCTTGAACACACCCTCCCCCTTTGGGACCCTTTTAGGTGTCCTCAAGGCCCAGAACGGGCACCGGCGACGGGTCGACGGACCTAACATACTATAGCGGAACGGCTAAGGTAAGTCAGATCGCGCCAGAGACGTTCTGTTGGGAACGCATGGAAGGAGTTGGGATGCCAATGCCCGTTAGCTTGAAAGGTTTTCTTCGTTCAACCCGTGGCTTTCGCAGTCTCTGGCAGGGGCTACTGCCGGAACATTGCCGGCCGGACTCGGTGTTCGCTGTTTAACAATGAGACTCTATATGAGTTTGACAGCATCTGAGTTTTCAAACCGCGTTTCCAATGTTCACAGAGAGACGCGTTCGTGGCGTTAAATTGGGTCTCTCTGGATAGTTTGAAGGCGAACTCATGCCGACGCCGGTGACATGGAAGCCTAGAAGCAGTTCATGTACGCTTTATGGAGATGAGTAAGAGATTGATGTGCGCACCTCACCTCCTTGACCCAAGTATCCTCACAACGTTCTCGACTCCTGTGCTCCTGTCATTTCACACCTACAGATACGGGCAGTCACGCACACGGGGCTCTCCTCACCGTCGGCCGGCCCATTCTCAGAGCAGAGAGGATTATCCGTGCGAACTTGAAAAGGGCCAAGAGAGGTGCGGGTATGGCGCGCGTAAAAGACACAAGAGACTCGACTGATAACGACGACAGCGAGTCCACTGCGTCGTCTTGGTGCAGGCACGTGTGACGCGAGACAAGTGCGCTAAACAGCTCCAGACGGTCTGCGACTGTCGTGAGAAGAGGCAATGATAGGCGCCTGGTGGTACGAACAGCTTAGCAGAGCTTCACTTTAGGGCAAGTCGGAAGCGCAGGGCTTCGGCAAGCTGCGAAAGGGTACTCCGTAGAGAGGTGAGGGTGTTGGAGGGAGGGGGAAGAGGGGTGAGTTGATATGACGGCATGGGGGTCACCGACGCAGGCACTGGGGGTTTAGCTGGGCTGCACACACTCTCTTTTTACAGAGAATGCACAAAATGGACGGCTAAGGGTTCCTGGCAGGGATGGCGGGAACCTTGGAGGGCTGGAGGGGAGGGAGGGGTGGAATCTTGAAGGCTCAATCATGTCCTTCAGAGAATCTGACTTTGACGCTGGTGACCGAATCTCTCAGTTCTGTGTGTTCGTATGACTCTCACTCTCATTCAGTAGCATTACGCTCACTCGCCCTCTTACTCACTCAGGTCTGTACACTCACTCACTCACAGTCTCTCACATCAAACTTTTCACTCACTGTAAGGTATCACTGTATCACTGAAAGAACGGGAAGGTGTGGCGGTCTTCGATAGGGGTTTCCGCGGCAGGATCCACTCTTTCTAGCACAATGCCATTTCTAGCGCAAGGGAAAAATCCTCGACGGCGGCAAGAGCTGCACACTAAGCAGGTACGTATCGCAGAGATACACAGGTACCTCTCGGCGCGTTCCCTTCCATTCTGCCGGTGCATTTTGCCTCAGGTTGCCTCTTCCCTCCATCTTGTCGCCTTTGCAAACTCGCAGGCCGCCGCAAAGTCGAAACTGCATGGCAATATGCAAGCTCTTTGCACCAACGATCCAATGATTCCGGCATAGCGATCAATAACATTACTCGACACACACTTCCTCTTCTTAGCCACACACTCGATGCGGCTCGAGGCTGGAGCTTGCGCACTCTTATCGCCGATTCCACCCACCACAACATCGTCGACTCGAACTTCTCTCCACTTCTCTCTGACGACTGTTGTGGACCCTTCGTGTCTTTTTCTCGCTCGCCCTTCCATCCCTCACACGGCGTTCCCAGTCAGCGTGCCAGCACCCTCCACTTCGCTCGCTCTCGCGCCCCGCCAGCCGAGAGAGTCCGTCTAGCTTGGCCAAGGTGCCATGGACGAGCAGCAGGGTCACAGCCCACTCTTCGTAGGGCCCGGCATGGCGAGGCGTGGGATTGTCAATCATTCATGGTCATGATGGGTGTGGTGACGGAGCGTGGGGCCATGGGCGTGAACGTGGATATCGACGTCAAACATGGTTCAAGGTCAATCTTCTCCACCACCATTACAGACCACAGACACGCAGCTGCAAATACTCTGTTTTCTACAGATGTACGGATACGCCGTGGCGTACAAGTGTATGGATATGGATACCACAGAGCAGAGCCGTCAATCTTGCGTGATAACGCAGAGGCGCACCAAACACGCCAATCCTCTAGCACCGGGGCCGAGAAACACCACTACGGTCACCACGCTCCAAGCAAGGAACCGGCGACGAGTCGACTACGGGCCCGTGGAGCCTCCCGGTTTGCTCGTTGCCGTTTCTGTTGCTGTGTTTTCCTGGGATCTGCTTTCCTCCGCTCGATTCTCAGCTGTAGCTTCTCCAGTTCTTTCTCCCTTCTCCGTCTTGTGTTTTTCGCCATTCATTACGTCCCGTCCCTCCGCTCCTTCCGCCTGCTTTCCAAGCTTCTCGACTCCATTGATCATCCCCTCCTCGCCCTCCTCCTCTTCCTTGACCTCCTCCCACCCTCCAAACCAACTTCAACTAGCTTTCCAACTTCCTCACATAATGGCGCCTACTTTCCACGAGTGCTACCGCCGTGAGGTCCACTGATGACACTACCCCACGATAACGACAACACTATTCATCCATCGATATCTGGATACTTGACTCGATATACCCAGAAAGCCTGCATCTTCACCAGCAGCTCTAATCCATCCAATCACGACTATCTTGTATAGAGGCTCTTGTACCACCACCTGCGATATCTTCAAACTCAATTGAGTACAATCGAGCTGAATCAACCAACAGCCTGGAAACGGCGATCGTTTCCTCTTTAGACAACATGTCAGGCTCGCCTCAAGAGTCCGGCCAGACGAGCTCCGGCTCCAGCAACACACCGCCGAATCCTTTCGAGAATCCAGCACAGGAACAGCCCAAGCTTCGAACTCCGCCATTGCTTCACCCTTCGTCGGCAACACCGCAGGCTCGAAAAGAGAAGAAGGAGAAGAAGAAGGTTGGCTTCCATGCCGACAGCCCTCAGCCTAGCCAGACACCCCTGGTAGACAATCGGCCACCAAGCATCGTGATTGACGATGACTACTTCGCGCAGTCAATGTCCCCCGAAGTTAACCCCTTTGATACACCTGGACGCATTGCTACTCCAAGACGAGACAACGACGCAACCCCAGCGGGAGCTCCAGATGCCGGTGAGCTACGTCGTGCTTTAACTCAGGTCTTGATTTCGGAGAACCAGGAGAACAATCCTTCCGAGACACCTGCCCGGCCCCGGCCCGTGCTCCGCCGTAACACCAGCTACGATGCACCCGAGGAAAGACAGAAAGCCGACCTCGCTGAGCAAACTGCCGGCGAGCGGCAGCAGCGTTCGGGTTTGGAGGCCCGCCAGCGTGCCAATCGCTTGGCTGTAAGTGTCGAGAACTACTCCTCACCCCCTTCTCGTCGCAACTCCATCGACGGATACAACCCATTTAGCGATGATGAGGAAACCGACCAGGTCACCGGCTTGAGCTCGGCGGTTGATGGGTCGGATGAGCGACGAAAGGTCCGGTCCCGTCCCAGAAAGAACTCACACTTGGATGCCGAGAATCTCGTCCGATCTCACACCAGACGAGCCAAGAAGGGTGGCCGAGGACCGAATGACTACTTCAAGTACGAGGCGCCTGCAGGTGCCCGATCTGGCACCGCCACGCCCACTTTGGAGCAGTCTTACGCTCACGACTATGTTCCGCCCCCGAAGCAGTATCACGGAGGCATTCTATCATCGCTCCTCAAGCTCTACAACGAGAATGGCAGCGGCGGTAGCAGTGGTCGAAACACGCCGGGTTCCAACACACCAGCTACAGCTACGCCCAATCACTCGCCTCCGGGCTCTATGCCAGCCTCCGCTGCGCCCTCAACCCCTGGATCACCTCGGCCTTCTCGCCCCAACAGTGGCTTGTTCAACTACCACAAGAAGCAAGGCTCTCGTTCCTCCATGGCTCTAGCTGAGCTTATGAAGTCGTCGTCCGCCATGGCAGGGCCGGCTTCGAGTGTGTTTAGCCAGGGCTTCACCGAGAAGCTCAAGACCGAGCCCCCATCACGGCCGAAGAGGAAGAAGTCTGGAGTCTGGGGCGGATCTTCACCAAAGTCATCAAAGTCTGAAGACAAGCACCGCATTACTAAGCACATTGCTCAGATCTTGTCGAGGCATAAGTATCTCGTCAAGCTGTGCAGGGCGCTGATGATGTACGGAGCTCCAACCCACAGACTGGAGGAGTACATGAAGATGTCGGCACGAGTCCTGGAGATCGAGGGTCAGTTCCTCTACATTCCCGGCTGTATGATTATCAGTTTCGACGACAGCGCGACCCACACCACCGAGGTCAAGATCGTCCGCTCGGCACACGGTGTCGATCTGGGCAAGCTGCGCGACGTGCATGACATCTATAAGCAGGTTGTCCACGATTTGATCAGCGCCGATGAGGCTACCATCATGTTGGAGAGCATTACAGCTCGCAAGCTCAAGTTCGGCAATTGGATGCGCGTGCCCGTCTATGGCCTCGCCAGTGTGTGTGTCGCCCCCTTCGCCTTTCAGGGACGCTTCATCGACTTGCCCATCGCTTTCATTCTTGGTTGCATCCTGGGCTGGATGCAATTGATCCTTGCCCCGAGCAACGAGCTGTATGCGAACGTCTTTGAAATCACCGCCTCCATCGTCACCTCCTTCTTGGCCCGCGCCTTCGGCTCCATCAACAACGGCGAATTATTTTGCTTCTCCGCACTGGCGCAGAGCTCCATTGCCCTCATTCTTCCAGGTTACATGGTCCTCTGTAGCAGTTTGGAGTTGCAAAGCCACAACTTGGTCGCCGGCAGTGTTCGCATGGTTTATGCAATGATCTACACGCTCTTCCTCGGATACGGAACTACGATTGGCACTGCGCTCTACGGCATGATCGACCGCCACGCAGAGTCGAGAACGACCTGCACCAACCCGCTTAATAAGAATTGGTACCTGTTGTTTGTGCCGGGCTTCACCCTCTGCCTCTGTATTATCAATCAGGCCAAGTGGAAGCAGACGCCTGTCATGATCACCATCTCACTCGCCGGCTTCCTCGTTAACAGCTACTCGTCCGACTTCTTTGTCGGCAACGCTCAGATCTCGAACATGCTTGGCGCCCTTACCGTGGGGTTGCTAGCTAACCTCTACTCCCGCCTTGGCCGCCATGCTCACAACTATTTCCTTGACTTCCTCGACTGGTGGGATCTTCGCATGGCCCCGCGCTTCGTTAGCGCTAGCCGCCGTCGCAACGAGCGTCCTCGTCCGGAAATGTACCAAATGTCTGGCCAAACCGCCGGAGCTGCCGGTCCCACTGGCGTCCATACCCCCGGAGAGAACACTCCCGAAGGATCGGCGCCAGCAACACCCACCACCGCGGCCTTCTCTGAGAAGGACAAGGCCCAAGGTGTCGTCCCGGAGCGGAAGCGCACCGTCGGATATGGACTCGCCGCCGCCGCTATGCTTCCAGCTATATTTGTGCAGGTCCCTAGTGGTCTCGCGGCTGGCGGGTCATTGTTGGCAGGTGTCACGTCGGCTGATCAGATCACGAACAATAACGGTACTTCGACATCAACCGACAGTTCAGACCTTAACAACTCGGCCTTTGCGGTTCTTCTTAGCGTTATTCAGGTCGCTATTGGCATCACCGTTGGGTTATTTATGAGCGCCCTCATGGTTTACCCTCTGGGTAAGAGAAGAAGTGGCCTACTCAGCTTCTAGTTAGTGCGATTTCACACGGTTATACCGGCATGGTTTTGGCTCTCGCCACTCTTTGGAAAGCTTTTCAACAATCCGAGGTGGAAGCACGAGCCGGATGTGGAGTTGGGGTTCGCGGCAGAAAGCTGGGCACAAGAGGAGGATTCATTGGCGTTTAAGAAGGCGTATAGAAGGGCAAGCATATAAAATAGCACTGTGGCGTTTGTCGGTAGCGTTCGTTTGGATTTGGTTGGATTCACTTTGTTCTTTCAAGCATTGGCCACGGAGTAACAGTACAAGACGTCGGATCTTGGCGGCGACAAATACAGCACTAGACAATATGAAGACTTTAGACGTAGAGATAGAACAACTGGATCCGAGCTCAGCTCTCCATACTTTATGTTTCATCCTTTTGCTCTTTCTGACTTGCCTTTGTCACAAGTTCGATGTTGTACGCCTCCCTTGTGTTTCAATGTTACTATCATAGGCAGTTGTAAGAATATTGGTGAGGGTAAGCGATGTATTCAATTTCGATTACGCTGACTTCTAATGCTCCCATGACGCATAGGGTAGGGAGGTTCATAGGCAGAATCCGGACCAGCTGTTGTTGAACCATTCTTCTTTATTCAGACTTAACACCATGTCACGATCATTACCAACCTCTTCGGCCTCGATGCCGAAGGAAATGCATTTATCGTTTGCTGATGCCATGGAACCAACTCCCACCATACTCAACTCCGATGGCGATGATGCCCCAGCAAGGTCCTCGATGAGCAAGTTGGGGCTCAAACTTTGCTGATAAAGAGAAGAAGATGGTGATTTACCCTCACAAAGGTATACGATAATTGATCTGGTGGTGTACCCTAGGAAACGGTGTTGTACCTTGACGGCATATGGGAGGCTATATATTTCGGAGCATCTCCACCAAATTGTTTGATTAATCTAGGAGAAACACCACTCACTCCTGTCTGGTACAACTCACTAGTCTTCGGTTCACTCTCTACGTTCAGAAGCTCTCTAGAGTTCTGCACAATACCACTTCACCACATTACCGAACCATCAGAGCTTGATACTTTATCAGACAGAGTCGGTCCAGCTGTTCTACAACTTACATGCTGTCACTCTTACAATTCACAAAAAACACCGAGTACACCTCATCACACTTCCTGGTCAGAAGTTCACAGGCTTCTCAGCCAATCTCATCTACCTCTACCAATACTCCTCACCCTCAGCAAACCTGGTCAGGACTACAGAGTCTTCTCCCCAGCTCCACCCACCTCACCTCACCAAGCCCATCACCTTCACCAAACAAACAAACATCCACAATGCTCCGCATCTTCAACCACATGGTCCCCTACCCCCGGCCCAAGGGATTCCTCGTCCCAGACCCGGAAGTCTACAAAGGCCTGGACGCAATCCAACAGCATGGCACCGCCACGTCAGACCTCGCCCAGCGCACAGGACGCGTCCGCTGCCTCGCCATCACGCAACAGGATAAACTCCGCGAAGAGCTAGCCTACCTCAAAGAATGCCAGCTCCACGATCACGCGCGCATGGACGAGGATTACGGAATGAGGATGCAGGGCTGCAACATGCAGTTCTGGCCTGGTGGACTCGGTTCTGGTGCTGCTGATATGTACCCGAGGAAGATGTCGAATAATGACATCTTGATGGCGAAGAGGATTGAGAAGTGCTACCGGAGGCGGATGAAGGAGTTGAAGGAGGAGAAGAGGAAGAATGCGATTTGGTTGGATTTGTGGTATGATAAGCAGGTTTTTAAGGTTGATCAGTTGTTGAGGAAGGAGTGGGATCAGAGTGGAGAGTGTGAGGGGTATCCTTACTGGGCTGAGGAGAGGCGTGAGGTGAAGCACAAGGTGAAGCGTTCTGCGAAGTAAGACTTCAAGGGGATGCATGGGTACACACCCTTACGACATATCACGACTTCTGAAAGATCACAGAGAGATGCTTGGGTACTGGGTTGGGTCTGCTTCTTGAGTACATACTACACTACCACTACACTATTGGTATTCATCAAGAGATTGAGGTCTCGATGTACATATTAGGAGTCATGGCCTGGTTGCGAAACTTCACGCACACAAGGAAAGGCATGACATGAACATTGATACAAACCACGATTGCCCCTCATGAACTACATCCGCTAGATGTCCACCCAGCCTTAAACCTACAGTGAAAGTCTGCTAGTGAATGTGAGACTGAAATCTGGCCATATCTTCGACGTAATGATGAACCTTTCGTAACATGCTACTCAGCACAAGTTATCACTTGAAACATTCATGATGTTGCTCGTTACGCTTTGGACGTGCCGATTCTTCCGTCACGGGCAGAATGATCAAAAAGTAATTACATAGCATCGATCCGATGTGCTGTGAGATTTTACCATTTTCACAAAAAGATTCTCGCACGACTCAGATGGGGGTCAGAAACCTGGAATTGACGACCCAGAACTCTTGGCTCGGGTTGGAGTTGGCTCATTATAAATAGGACGCATCATTCCTAGTACCTCATTTCTCGTAACACCAGCCAACTTTAACATGGCAAAGCAATTCAGAATCAGAACTGTTGGTTTCGACAATCCTCTCTCTCTGAATAGATGATTGTTCGAGCCAAGCTGTGTCGATTATAGAATCGGATGAAGTAGTCTTGAGGGGATATGGATGTTTTGGACAGCAACTGATGTTAAAGGAACTGCATAAGCTAAAGTAATTTCTATATTGCAATGCCCAAAGTACATAATTGACATTAAGCATGAATAAATACAACATTGTTGTAGCGGGCAAAATAAAGACTTTCCCCGCCGGCATTGATCTCAGCTTCAACCTCGATTGACATCTAGTAAACCATCAGTGCCGCAGTTAATCCCTAGGCCGCCCTTGTAACGGCTCTGTCTCGCCAACTCTGTCATTGTTCAGCGATCCGACGCGATGTTCTCTCCATACACTGATATACAGCCTAATACGGGCTCACCTCTGTTCGGGCACGTTCTCGGAGCCCTCGTTAGTTCCTATTCCCTCGTCTACCTTACTCTTTTTGCTGGTGCTGGTCTTGGCCCCGCCACCAGATTGGTTGCTTCGTCCAGCCTGCATCGACGACGGACCGTTTCCGTAAGGACTCACCAACAGGGAATGTGGAGGCCTCTCCTACCATGCTTAATGCAATGCAACATGCAGTTGGAGACAGCCGACTTCGTCCAATAAAAGCTTACGAATCCAGTAATCGCTGCCCAACCGCTGGAGAGACCTGGATTTTACCGCCGTAACGCTTGGTATCCCTCTTCTAGGTGCTGATCACTGCTCAAACCGGGTGCCTGCATCGAAAGCTGAGAGATACAGCTGCCACTCCCCTCATCGAATTGTTGTTTTCCTTCTTGGTTTGAAATTTGTAATGTGTTTCACGTCTTCCCACCAACTTCGCGCCCAACATTGTTCACAAGGCCCAAGTCTTCCATCTTCATCTTGATCATAGTCACTCTCGCCCGAAAGAGTAGAATAGGTTCTCCGAGCGATGGGGCGTTCTGTGCAAGCAGAGCAGGGCCACTACGGCTGCCTCGATGTTCTATCATCATGCTTCAACAAATCATCCAAACTTCCACATCAACCCCCCAGGCCGGACACACCGAATGCTCGTCCAGCTTATGCCAAACGCTATGAGACTGAATCGGGGCAGTCACACTTTCCGCTTCCACTCTCAAATATCTCAAATGGAGCTTCCTCGGTTGTCTTGAACTTTCCCGACAGCCAAGTGCCGTCCAAAGGGGATGAAATTTCCCTTCAACCCCCCGACCGGCTCTCACACGAAGTGCAACAAGCATCGGATCTCTGGAAAGAGGCGTTCGAGGAACTTGACCAAGATTACAAGAAATCGATCTCTGCGAATTTGTCTTCCATAGGCGAGGACCCGGTAGAACAATTGATCAAGCTCGTGCAAGATAAGGAAGAAAGGTTCAAGGACAGGTCGGGCAAGATCACAGTTGGAGACAAAGAGATCCTATGGAGGGACTGCGCAACGCGCGTCATCAGTCTCCTTTCCGCTGCTGTCGACGTTGGCATAAACTTTGCACCTACCCCTGGGCCAGCCGTCTGGTCGGCTTTGAAGGTTTTGCTCAAAGTAAGACCAAAACTTCTGTTTCCCTGTTTCACTTGCTGACTACAACGCCTAGGCACATGTTGGTGGGTGTGAAAGTGTTGCTGCTATGTTCGGATGTGCTGATAGGGTTTTGCGCCTTATCAACCGTGGCGCGATTTACGAACAAGTATTCTTGCGATCAAGACCCGTTGACCTTGATGCTTGTGAAAAAGACTTGCGCAACGCCCTCGTCAACGCTTATCGAAGTGCGCTTGAGCTTCTGGACTACGCGAGAACGAAGCTCGAGGATGGCGTTGCAGTACGCCAATTCTTCGAAGCCTTGTGGGATCCCCACAAGACGAAAGACAAGCTGAACGAGCTCGAGGAAGCTGAGAAAAGCTTACAAGAAGTCGTACTAGCATGCGATATCAAGAAGAAGTATCTTCAAGATGACTATAGTCTGAGGCTTCTCAATCGACTGAACGACCCACTGCGATACATCGACAGAAAGGTGACCAGGATCCTCACGGAAATGGAAGATGACAAGCTCATGAGAACACTCAATTTTATTTCCCAAATCAATGTGGGAGATCAACACAGTTCGATGAGACAAAAAAGAACTCAAGGAACAGGAGAGTGGCTAACGAAACGGAAAGAGTTCCGTGACTGGGAGGACTCGAGCTCATCCAACATTCTTTGGCTTAGTGGAAAGGGTGTGTCATTTATTACCTTCAGCCGACTGCACGTACTAACTTCTGGTAGTTGGTGCCGGCAAGTCAGTGCTCACATCGAACATAATTGATCGTTACCTGGTAAACGATTATGACCGAGATAAGGTCGACAGCAACTTTGACGAAGGCTTCGCATTTTTCTATTACAGCAAGAACAACAAAAACGTCACAGATGACCCAGTTAACAATGTACTTCGAAGCTTTTTGCGGCAGCTGGCTCGAGTACCGCACTACGCGAATAGAGTATTCAATGATCTAGCCAGTCTATGCCGAAACATGGAAAGAGATCAACGAGCCTTCACGCCAAACCTTTGTCGAGACCAAATATCACTACTTGTCAAGGCGCTACCGAGGACTACACTTGTACTTGACTCCCTAGACGAGCTGGAGCCCCTGCAGATGCAGGAGATTATCAGCTTTTTGGTGAGCCTCGTTAATACTTCTGAACGACCAGTCAAGATATTCGTCTCCAGTCGATTCTCAACAGATATCTGCAACGAGATCAACAAAGCCAACAACGAACCTACGCGTATAGACATCGCTGAACAGAATCAACGAGATATCAAGACCTTTGTTCTCGAGGAGACCGAGAGAATTGATTGCCACTGGAGGAATGACGAGATTAGGGGGAAGGTCGTTGAAACGATTAGCAAAGACGCCCGGGGAATGTAAGCATTGGTGTTTCGCACCCAACTTTCCTTTGCTTGATAGAGGAATCACTCACAGCGTCAACAGGTTTAGATGGGCGTTCCTGCAACTTGAGAAGCTCATCAAGTTGATTTCCACCGAGGATGTCACGGATCAACTCGGGAAACTTCCTGTTGGGTTGACAGCAACTTACGACGAGTTGTACGCGAAGCCCGGATCCCACGACGGTAAATATCTAGAACGAGCGGTGAAATGGGTCATTCATGCGCATATTCCACTCTCAACGGAACAACTTCTTTCGGCCGTACAACTGTGTCTTGCCGACGAGCATGGTGACTTGGCATTGGGCACTAGGGGCCAAAGACTATCAGAGCAGGCCTTAGAAAACATCTGCCAACATCTCATTGTCAAAAATGATTGGGGAAAATGGGCTTTTCCTCACGCATCGGTTCAAGAATACTTTGTCAAAAAGCACCCCGAATTGACCAACGACCTTGCTCGCATTGAGATGGCCAAATTATCGCTGTTGGCACTTATCAAATTGAACCGATGCCCTGCCACTGCAGAATCTCCTGATTCAGTTCTGATGGGTAAACAGATCGAAGGAGACGAAGACAGAACCGTAACTGAGCCTTATCCGGTCGATTCTTTCGAATACTACGTATCGCGATATTGGGCCTTACACATCAGAAAAGTACAAGATTTACCTGATGCGGTCAACCAGATCTCGAGGTTGCTCAAACGGTTCATGATCTCCCCAGACTGCCACCGTCTATCAACCATGGAATATCAAAAATGGTCGACTTACATTTTGAAGTCGGACGGATATAAATCCTCCTTCGCAGGCAACCGTTTTTTGATATCAGACTTGAAACCTGTTACTAACCCGGCATTTGGGATAATTGTCTTTGGCATTACTCTCTATCAGAATGAATGGGCAAAGACCTATCTTGAACTCAATCTGGATGAGCTCAATCAAAATAAGCTGGATACCCTTGCCGTAGCTGCACGACACGGACGCGCTGAACTTTGTGCCTCACTCATCGAAATGGGAAGCAATCCGAACAAAGTTTTCGGAAGCAATCGCATCAGTGCTTTAGCTCTGGCGACCCTAGAAAACAAAATGACCTCTGTTCAAGAGCTCCTGGAGAACGGGGCCGATCCAAACGTCACGACTGGACGACGCCCGTTATGTGCAGCGGCTACTGAAGGTCATTGTGAGATCGTCAAACTTCTGATTCGATATGGGGCCAATCCTGACGGGATTTGTTCAGACTGTATATTCGACTGTGCCCTGGCAGGCTGCTCATGGCGGGACAGCCGAGATGCAGCAGAAATATTGATCAAGTCGGGGGCGACTGTGGATTTGCATCTCGATTACTACGACGGAACAACCCCGCTTTTGATTGCTGCCTTTGAAGGCGCTTTGAACGTTATTAAACTTCTCCTCGAACATGGTGCGGATCGGAACATCAAAATAGGGAGGTATGGCGGTATACTAGGGGCAGCTTTCTGTGGCGGCCGCGCCAAGAAGGTGGTCCCTTATCTTATCGAAGAGGCTGGGTTACATCCCAGGAGGATTATTGAAGATCTCCTGGAGAACGACCCCTGGCCATGTAGTTCGAGGGAAGAAAGATACGGGGTCAGCGAGTGGCTTTTTTCAAAGAACTACCTCAAACCTGGAGAGGTGCGAAACCTGCCCTACTACAATCAGTCTTGGATGGCCTTGAAACCGTTAATCGAAACTGCCAGGCGGTCATGAACAGTTCCTCGGGCTTAGTCCGGCCTGGCTCTAGATGACTTCATGGGCGAGGAAAAATTTGGAAGCATCTAGATTAGGCATCCAATAATTCTGTCCTGTAATTACTGAGGTGGTACGGTTTGCTCCTTCGAACTGCCATTTTCTGTTCTCTAGAATCGATCAGACCTGCTCCAGCTTGCCGTCATTTTACTTGGAGTATCTTTTTATCACCATTCTGAATCAGACTTTGCACTCGATTGCTAGGCTCTTTTAACATAGGTGATTTCAAAAACGGAGGCAGCTTCCCAGAGCGCTCGATTCCCAATATTTGCCAATTTTCCACCCAAACTATTAGGCTTCATGGTACATCCTTGGCGCCGTCTCCTGTTGGTTTCGGTATGTAGTAGACGATGCCATAGGACTGTGTGTCCATGGCGGCAGATACTAGGGCCCTACTAGCAACCAACCGCTCGTCATATACCATAACACATTAAGCAAGACGCACTGCAGCAAGAGTCGTCCTCCTGATTATCCTCGTGGCCGGAAACGTTCGGAAGCTCAGGAGGTTAGAGCGTTGATGGGCTCGATGAATAGGGCTCACGGACCCCAAAGCGACACGTATCGAGTATAGCAATATAAAGCCCTATACCGGTACGCAACGGAGCAACAACGAAGAACTCGATGCTGTCTCGGTGAAAATCAGCCCATGTTGCGACGACAAACCTACGGTAAACGTGGATGACAATAACGAAAACTCCGTAAAGCGTCCAGAGCCGGGCGAGCAGCCCGCCAGAGCTTGGTGAGAGGTATGCAACAACCGCAGCAGCGTCGAGACGGAGTTGCGTACATATGAGCGCTGATATTAGACCCGTGGCGACGGAACACTGCATGAGTCGTAATGTAGCAAGATTTCGAAAATCTGAAGGATCACGGCCACAGCGCAGCTCTCGTCTTGAACTGAAATCACTCGACACCTAGCTGATGGATGCTTCTGTGGCGCGATTTGTTGGACGTCCTTGAGCCTTGCTTACTTTATGCTCAACGAGAATGGGTCAAAGCACACGCTGAAAACAGCTTTATTCCAACTAGCACGGCCATCCTGACACAGAACTTTACTTGACATCGCTTTAACAATTCACCAGAGCTCGAGTATAGCGCCAACTCATCTAACGATATCAGTTTGCGCAGCTAAATAAAAATCCAATGCAATCTGTCGACTGTGAAGTTCAAAATGGGATATCGACATGATACTGTCCGACAGTCGGAAATATGTCCACAATTTCGGTCTCGGTCTCAAGGATCTGCGGCTGAGCCACATGTCAGGCGGGTTGCTTTACCAAAAGACTCGCGGGATCGAGAGGCTAATCGCACTAGACTACATGCTGCCCGACTTGACTTACAAGCATGAACACAGCCCCCAGAATTTCCACAATGCAATTTTACAATGACGGGGAAGGTGTCAATAGTCGTATGGTGAAGAACACCAACAACTAAGATCTTACTACAACGGCGATAAGATTATAGGATGTAGACTTACTCAGCGAGACTTGCAACTTGCAAGATCTGGAGACTAGCCGAATGGCTTTGCTTGGCTACACAACCATTTCATTTTTGAACCCGAAAGTACAAGAAATAATTCATGGAATGAGAGTAGTCATCCTGTTGCATGCCACATTGTTCTAGATGATCAGCCAGGGTGGAATGATCGATAGCAGTCTCATATCCTGGCTTCATTCACAACTACCACGCAAAGATGGCGCCGAGATATCTGAACTGCAAGAGCTTGCAGTAGAAAGTGACCTTCTACTGTGCGAAAAGGCCTCCTCAGCCCGTAATGACGGTTAATGTAAGCTGGCGGGCCATCAAAGTATATTACTCCTAACTTAATACTGGCCTAGCTACTGGAGTTGGCCAGCGGGTTATGGCTTTTGAGGAAACCTGGAAGGCAGCCAGTTTGACAACGCAATCACAAGAAGACTTCATGGCTAATATCATTTAACAAGCGTCTGAGAAGAGAACCGATTCGAAGGTTCCTGACATGAAGCCGACGCCCTCGATATCATGTCTCAGGATACTTCACCATCCGTGTGTCATATGCATTTGAGTAGAGCTGCGAATCAATACGAGCGGGATGAGTTGCTTCAATTTAAGTTATTACACTTGGGGAAGCCCTTGGGAAGTCGCCAATTTCGTTTGCGCAAAAAGGACTGGTTCGTTATTACGGACGTGAGCGAACGCATGCTGTTTCTCCATACCGACTGCGCTTTTTCGCACTATTGACGATGTAGCCACACTGTACACGGAGAGAAATGAGTGGGTGAACTCGAGGTTATTTGAAAGAAGGTATGGAGCATTTCTGTTCTATTGTCGTGGAAGCTGGGGCTTGAGCGAGTCACGCTCCCTGAAGGCTTCAATTCTTGGCAGAACCCATCGTGTGAGGCGTCCTAAAAGTCAGCGACTGCGAGGCACTAATTCTAAGAGTGATGGGAAACGATGTTGTTCTCTTGACAGATTGAATGCCTCAACAGGCATCAAATGCCCACAAAGTTGTAGCTTTCACCCTCACAAGGTAGTCAAGCGCCCCAACGAAGCAGGACATAACTCAGAAGCGCGTCATAGAGACACATTCCTTTTCAGCACAGAAAGCAGCTCACACGCTCCGTGATGTGGATTTGCCAAGAACCGAAATCGTGTTCAGCGACATTACACCCCAAGCAGCATCCAATAATGTCCTCAAAAACCCAAGTCTGAGTGTGCGGGACTGCCGGCCGGGGTAGCATCAATGACCCAGCCAACAGCCGACACTAGCTCCGTTGGGCAGCTCCTAAAGTTCGCGCGGGCTTGGCGATCATGATAAGCTTAAATGCTCCTGCCGCATGCTCTCCATCCCCCGAGGAACTGAACGGTGTTTGTGGGCTTTTGAGTAACGGACTTCCTGTTTCTGTTCATTCATCGTATTGCGTGCCACGACGGCGAAAGCCGTTGGTATAATGAGATGCCTGTTTGGGGCAACGGGTCCTGCCGCCGTCCTGGCTGATCCTCCACATTCCGCAAGTGCTGGGCGGGAGGCCGTATATGCTTCGCTTCTTTTTAGGGTCGTGATGAGTGTATTTAAAGGGGGCTTCTCTCCGGACTCTTGCCCATAGAGGTTCTCTTGCTCTCTTCGTTGCACCTGCACCATTCATCAACGGACGCCGCTCATCAACAGGACAATCTGAACGATGCATCTCAACGCTGCTCTCGCGATCCTTGCGGCCTCCAGGGTTGCCCTGGCTGCGCCTGCCACTGAGGAGACTCAAGTCGACCCTGCGCTCCGTCTGATCAAGACGTCCGAGGCCGACGCCGGCACCTGGGTCACGGAGGACCAGAAGATTGAGGAGTATGTCAACAAGCACATTGGCTTCATTGACATCACCGACATTGTCGTACGTCTGGACTGTTTCTCATCGATACATGGATGAAGCTAACCCATCAAAGGACGATGAGGTCTTGGCGGTCCTGTCCACCCCGCCGGAAGAGGTCCTCGAGGCCAGAGTGACATACCCCACCACTCTGTCCCACGTCACCGAGGCGAACGCCCTCATCGCGTCGGTCTCTAACACCAACCCCCAGACGTGGTTGAAGACTTTGACCGAGTTAGTGATTATGAGCTCAGATCTTACCTGCGAGTACATGCTGACAACATACAGCTTCTACAACCGCTACTACCGCTCCACCTACGGTACCCAGGCTGCTACCTGGTTGTTCAACCAGGTCAAGACTGTTGCGGCTGCCAACTCGGCCATCACCGTCACCCAGTTCACCCACTCCTTCAGCCAGCCGTCCATCATCGTCAAGATTCCCGGAACCAGCTCTGACCTGGGTATGTTGCGCCGCCCGTCTGCACCCTAACCTTTCACATGCTAACCGTGCTCTTCAGTCATTGTTGGTGCCCACTTCGACTCCACCGGAGGCTCTTCCACTGCCCGTGGACCCGGTGCTGACGACAACGGCTCGGGTGTCGTTGTCATCCTTGAGGCTCTCCGTGTTCTCGCCAACGCTGGTTTCAAGCCCAAGAACACCCTCGAGTTCCACTTCTACGCCGGTGAGGAGGGCGGTCTTCTCGGCTCCCAGGCTGTCTTCGCCAACTACAAGTCCGCCGGAAAGACCGTCCTTGCCTTTGTCAACCAGGATATGGCCGGTTACTCTCCCTCTGGCAAGCTCTCGGTCTACAACGACTACGGTAAGCTCATCACTCATCGATGCCATGCACGTATGTACATATAGTAACATTGCTGACTCCTGATAGTTGATTCCGCTCTTACCACCTACGTCCGTCTCATTGGAACCCAGTACACCGGCAGCGCGCCCACCAGCGACGTCTGCGGATACGGGTGCTCCGACCACGCCAGCGCCCGCTCCAACGGCTTCCGTAAGTTGACGCCCATTTTTTGGGAAGTGTGAGACTTAATGGCTGATTTGATCCGACAGCTGCCGCCTACGTCTGCGATGAGCCCATCGACACCTCCACCCCCTACATCCACAGCCCCAACGACGTAAGTTGCCAGCACTCTCACTTGAGCAATCGATCAAATGCTGACTTGACATGCAACAGAGCTACGACACTATCCAGTGGTCTGCCGTCCTCCGCCACTCCAAGTTCACCGTTGGTTTCTTGGTTGAGGCTTCTTACTTGTAATCTGTATAAACATATAAACAAGCGCGGGGCGATCTTCATGTATATACATCCCGACTTGTGTGTCAATACATTACATTCAAGAATGCAAATAAGCCACAGGCTTTGAAACTAGTGAAACGCTAAAAGTTGTTGTCTTCTTTGTGAACTCTATAGTGTCCGCGCAAAACTGCCTTACTGGGAAGAGTTTCCCGAGGAAACCCAACGAAACTACTACCCCAACCCATCTCCGCCCATCGGACGTGGAGACATGCAGACTCTTTCTGAAAGAGATTCTAGATCGACTCAACCAACCTAGGACCTAGGGCGGAAACATGATAAGCCTAGGGCGTGGGACCCCACTTTCTGCCACATACGGTGGTTTCTATGAGACGCAAGGGTTGCAAGGCGTGGTTGACATGGTTGAATGACTCTTACTAGGTGCATACGCCGTCTTCGGCAGGCATCCCGGCCAGACGGCCTTGGATCCCGAGATACGACTAAAGAGGAGAAAATTTCGTGCACTGAACTGAACATTTTCTCTGGCAGACATCGAGTAGTCACCATCAAATTTCAAAGTCGTGTTTGAGAGCCACGATGGGCGCCTCAGAGGAGCGAGATAGAGTGACTGTGACTGAATCCCACGATGCGCCGGGCGCTATTGAGCTAGGGGCGGTGCGTAGTCCGACGAGTTCTCGCCATCACGACCCCGAATCCAGCCCATTGGCCTGGCTATGTGTTTTGGGATCATTCATGTTCCTATACCCATCATACGGTAAGCGCCATCATAATACCTTCGTTTCTCTGACAACATGCTCATGGTTTACGATAGGGTTCATGCAATCTGTTGGAACTGTTCAGTCATACCTCCAGCTGCATCAGCTGAGTGAGTACTCCACTCGCGATCTAGGTTGGATCAGCGGAATCTTCACCTCACTTGCGCTATTCCTTGGAATCCAAGCCGGACCATTGATGGATGCCTATGGGACGAAGTGGCTGGCCCCCATCTCCGTGGCACTCTATGTGCCCGTGTTCTTCATCATGGGTGAATGCACGCAATACTGGCACTTCATTCTTTGCTTGGGAGTACTGGGCGGCATCGGCGGTGCCCTCACATCAACAGTCGCTGTGGCAGTTATCGGAAAGCTCTTTAACCGCCGCAAGGGGCTTGCCATGGGAGTCGCCCTGTCCGGATCCTCGTTCGGGGGTGTGACCATCTCGATGATGCTTCGGTCCATCCTGCCTCGACTGGGCTGGCAGTGGTCCATGAGGATCATGGGATTCCTAGTCCTTGGTATCATGGTTTTGGGCGTCATATGTTTCCTCCCCTACCCTCGCCTATCCACTCCTGTCTCTGGAGCACCGGTTGGGAGAGTCGGAGCCCTGCTCAATTTCTCTGCCTTCCGCTCACCGCCGTTCGGATTTATGGCTGGTGGCCTCTTCATGCTCGAGTTTGTTCTCTTTGGAATCACTGGCCTATTGCCTACTTTTGCCATTGCTGCAGGCTTCCCTTCCAACATCGGGTTCTCCCTGGTAGCCATCCTCAATGGCACTTCATGTTTCGGTCGCATCATGACCGGCGTGATCGGCGATAGAATTGGCCACCTCAACATCCTCCTCATCATGATAGGTATTACCATTGTGTTTACCGGTGTCGTTTTCGTGCCTTTTGGAACCAAGCATATCGGTGCTTTGTATGCCTTTGCCGCGCTTTGGGGCTACGGATCGGGATCCTTCCTTTCGAGCACACCAGGTAAGAATTCTCCATAATCAGCTCCATACTGTTGAACGAAACTGCTAACGCAGCCCAGTCTGTTTAGGAAAGACTTGCGAGCCAAAGGATTACGGGAGGTACTTGGGTAAGTGATGCTCTTCGATCGCTATCGCCTTCATTATCGACTAACGATGCAACTTCAAGGCACCATGAACTTTGTAGTCAGTTTCTCGTTGCTCGTAACCGTCCCCATCGGTGGACAGATGCTAGAGAGTATGGGCGGAACAGCGCTCTCGGGATTTTATCTTGCTATTCTCTTCTTGGGCGGTGTTTGCTATTTTGCTGCCCGCTCCCTTCTTCTGGGCGGTTGGCTTACGCTGAGAGCCAGGATTTGAGCACATTCGATTAAAATTAGAGCAAGGTGCTCAACGGATACATCAATGAGGTAGGACCTGGAAAGCCGAGGTGCCAGCATTAGGCGGCTATGTTCAACGCAACTACTAGGACGGCGGGAAAGGGATAGACATGATGGAGTTAAAATTGCATAATGAATCTTAGACTGTTTATGATTAGGAATAGTAATTCAATGGGTATGAAAACTACACCTGACCACTGGTCTTCCTATTGATATGGAAGTGTGTTTTGGGCGGGATAGGTTCGCCATAAACGTGTAGACAGGGGAGGGGGCGGTCCACCCGAAGGGCGCGGAAGACATCTCGGCTTGATGCAGGAACAACGGACCGGACCGGTATCATGGGTGAGAAACCAGGTTGATGACCGGAGAACCGGCTATTACCTCGACAATTCCTTACCTTTGCGGAACGGCACCGGAAGAAGTTCTCCACTTTCGAGGCTCCAATTACCTTTCGGGGACAGCGATGCACGCCGTCCGGTGCGGGGGTGCGCTATCACCCCGAATGATCGGCTTATCAGCCCCGAGATAGTCACATGTGCCGCTCTCGGCGCCATTGCGAATTTAAATCCCCGGCTGTTGCCTCAAACAACCCATCTCGAGTCTCTCTCCTTCTCCCTTTCTTTCAGACAGCCAGGGTCTACTTCTTCCAGGTTCCATTCGCCAGCTTTCCAGTGCTCGAGAATAACCATGGGAGACGCTAACATCAAGGGGAAGCCCCATCCACTTGATCCTCTGCGACCAGAAGAAATCAGCCAGGTTAGTGATCTCAAAGTAATTCCAACATACGATACAAATCCTGCCATTCATGTATGTTGACACAATCGAGGCCGCCGGAATCGTCCGTGAGTCGAACCAGAGCAAGGACATATTCTTTCGCGCAATCTCTCTAGCCGAGCCACCGAAGATAGAACTGATCAAGTTCCTTGACAGCGAACATGCCGGCAATAGAGATGCCGTCCACCCGGCAAGACAGGCTAGAGTGCAGGCTTACATCGCCAAAACTTTGCACGAGATGATTGTCAACTTGAACACTGCGACCGTCGCTTCTACCACCCCGCTACCAGGTCGCCATTCCTTCATCGACACTGACTTTATGGCACAAGTGGCTGCGGCTTGTCTGGCAGACAAAAAGATTCAACGCGAGATCAGTGCCCTCAAACTACCAGAAGGCGCAACCGTCGTCGTCGAGCCTTGGGCATATGCCACGGATGGCATGAGGGATATGAAAGACCGCTGGACAATGGTGGGATTCCTACATTTCTCGCCCATGCAAACTAGTGGACTAAAGATTTCAGGCATGGTTTTACATGCGACTCTCTGACAACACCGACGCGAATTACTATGCCTACCCGTTGGACATATGTGCGGAGGTATCCAACTCCCTCGAAGTGGTCAAAATCTACCGGCTACCTTCTGGAGAGCACGATAAACTCAGCGATGTGGGCAAGGAATTTGACCGCCGCAAGATTCATTCCAGCAGCGAGTATCATCCCGATCTCGTACAAGAGCGCAGGACAACGACGAAGCCATACCATGTCTCCCAACCTGAGGGCCCGTCGTTTAGCATCGACGAAAACCACATCTCTTGGGAAAAGTGGACAATGAGAGTCGGCTTCAACTATAGAGAGGGCATGACTCTTCACGACATCCGTTTCGAGGGCCGAAGTTTATTCCACCGTCTGTCTCTAGCCGAGATGTTTGTGCCTTATGGAGATCCTCGATGCCCTTATCCCCGAAAAGCAGCCTTTGATTTGGGGAACGACGGTGCAGGGATCAATGCCAATAACCTCAAGTTGGGCTGTGATTGTCTCGGACACATCAAGTACTTTGACGGGTGGCTTAGTAACTCATCGGGAGAACCATTGAAGATGCCGAACGTTATCTGCTGCCATGAAATTGATGACGGTATTCTTTGGAAGCATACGAACTTCCGCACTGGAAATGCTGTAGTCACCAGGTCTAGAGTGCTCGTGCTGCAGACCATCATTACGGTCAGCAACTACGAGTATATCTTCCTCTTCTACTTCCAGCAGGACGGGTCAATATTCTATGAAGTCCGTGCCACGGGCATCATGTCGACAGCACCTATTGATCTTGACACCACGGTCCCGTGGGGGACTATTGTCGCGCCAGGCGTGTTGGCGCCATATCACCAACACATCTTCTGTTTGAGGATTGATGCTGCCATTGATGGGTCTCGAAACTCCTTGGTTGTCGAGGAGTCTCATCCGATTCCCTTCACTGGGGACACGGACACGTATAACCCTTTTGGCGTAGGGTACACCACAACGTCCAAAGTCATTGACAAAGAAGCAGGCTTGGATCTCGATTTCAACACAAACAGAACTTTCAAGATCGTCAACGAGAACGTCACCAACTCAACCACAGGAACCGCCGTCGGCTTCAAACTTCTACCCCACTACAGCCAGCTTCTCCTCGCCCAACCAAACTCTTGGCATGGCAAGCGTGCAGGGTACACATCCCACGCTGTCTGGGTGACACGACATCACGACGGCGAATTATTCCCGGCCGGGAGATTCACCATGCAGTCAACCGGAGACGATGGCATCGGATCCTGGATAGAGCAACGGAAGGACGGTGACTCGTCTTCGGTGCGCAACGAGGATATCGTAGTCTGGCACACGTTTGGGTCTACGCATAACCCTCGTATCGAAGACTGGCCGGTGATGCCGTGCGAGAAAATGATGGTAGGGCTGAAACCGGTCAACTTCTTCCAGGGTAACCCTGCTCTTGATGTGCAGATTTCAACACAGGAAAAGAATCGTAGTGTGCTGGTGCACGGTGCTGGTTGTGAGACTTAGAGTTCAATATTAAAGTACGGAAGGGCTTTTCTCGCTGACGCCAATGGTTAAAATAACGGCAATTCAAGTAACAGAGACCAAAGTCAAAAGGCCTCGTCAGCCTATAAATTAGTTCAGCCACGTCCCAGAGAGCTTTTCGAATGTGAACACCCGCGGTTGTTCAGATTCAGACCATGTCTTTAAGATTCTTTCTAGGAAAACCTCAGTAGCAAAGACTGCTCCAAATTGTATAGTGAGTCGCGCAGCAACCGGCTTTTTGCATTGCGCGCCTGGCGTCACGCGTGTGCGAGTACCATAGCGTTGCCAAGGAGTTCCCAACCGCCGTATTAAGTACTTCTTTACTGGTGGACATACCCACTAGAATCCCATTCTTTAGACTTTTGAAGTCGTCTCTACTTTTCACGTTGAGTAGTTCCTGAGTCAGTTTTCGCGGAATCACTTGCCCGATGAGGTGCCATCATTACGAATCATGGTACCGTTGGATCTGAAACAACAGGGAATCTGAGGCACTTGGTGGAGAACACGAGCTTGATAGTATGTAAGACATGAAGAAGATGAATTAGCTAATATGTGATACGGCTGTCTCTTTACCTACAACCTGAAGATCTGAATCTCGGGGGTTCTGTCCGAAAGTAAATCGTCCATCCCGTCGCAAGTGTCAGATGTATTTTTGATGAAGACCAGGGTCATGCCGACTACCTTGGTAAGAAAATAGGTACTGTTTGATATGGTTCGGTAGATGATAGTCTGAGGAAAACTATTTCACGCCATCAATTTGATAAGTCATTCAGTCTCCCCAAGGCGAGTATACCCGAGCCTGCTGTATGACTGTCCAGCTTGCATTTTCCAATAGACAGATAACAACGTAAGGAAGATAGAATGAGAGAGTTTGAAACATAGAGCCGGAGACTCCTCTAGTGGGACTAGGTTTGGTGAGTTATGTCTACGCCATCATCGAATTCACCAGGCCGAACATGTCCTCGAGCAATTCGCCCGTTGTGGCTTCGTATCCAGGGTACTATTATTTCGTCACAAGCTACTCCAACAGTCCGGAATTTGCGTCCAAACTTAGGGTCATCAACTAGGTCGATAGGTTGTCGGACGAACCCGATCGTCGGATGTGCGGGTTGAGCGAGCCCGGCTGTCTGTCTCAGACCATCCCAGTGAACGGCATCTCCAGACGACCCCACGCTGACCGGCCGCAGTTGCTTCAGGTGGCCAGGCTCAACAAGGGTCGTCCTGCTATTTCAGATACATCTTTAGCAGATCCCGGTTCCCCAGTGGCACCAATGTTGGCATTGTGGGAACGCAATATCAACAAAATGACACAGGCGTTCGAGGTCGGCTCAAGTTATAAATGGTTTTGAACTCCCCATCCCACGGCCAATTTCAAGACACCCTCTTCACAGCATCATTCACTTCCAATACGCTTTGAGAAATATGCAGTTATCTTTCTTCTACACGGCTGTCCTTCTGGCTGCTGGCGTCGCCGCCCAGTCCTGTTCGTCGACTATCACATACTGCACTGGAGGCGCCTGCTTGTGCTTTGCCGATGGTATCACCGAATCCCTGAACGAAATGTGTAAAGGCAAGGGATTCGAACGCTCGTTGGGGCCGTCAAAGACTACGACTGAGGCCGTAAGTTTGATTCTCTCTTCTCGTCTTGACTAGCTGTCCTAATGACTTGTGTTTAGGGCGAGCGATGCGACACCCAGTGCTGCACTGGCTAAGCCGACCACTGTTAAGACGACTGGAGATATACAGGCAGCATTGTAATTTTAGCGTGTTGCGTCAAAAGATATAAGCAATCATCAGCTTTTTACCAATGCCTAATGCCATGATTCAATCGTCACATGTGCCAGTCGTTTTTTCTAGATAAAGGCCCATTCGCTCGCTCACGCTACCTAGTTTGTTGAACAATACTTGAGCAGCTGATGAGCCATCGAGCCATTCTATGCGTACTAGCCATGTTTCGTCAGAATGCGCAATCCTCCTGCAGTGCTACCCCAATCACCCAACACTAATTGGCAAAGTTCGTGTTCTCCAGCTGCCTACATTATGATTCTCCAAGCTTCCGTATCAATAACATGACACAATTGTCGACAGTAGGATAATAAAACTCTATTGACTATACAGAACCAAAGAAGTTTATCGCGTGGGCGTCAAGCATTGCAGTACAGCGTGTGAACAAGTTTCAGAGCGGATGCGACATTGGGAGCTTGGTGCAGCCTAGCGAGAATATGCGGCTTCTGGTTCGTTGCTCTTGAGTCCCGCTGTCAACCAAAACATTTAAGCGAACAGTGGGTAATTAAGGTTGGCGCCGACGGCTATGCATCTTAACGCTGGCCGTTTTCCGTCTATAACACCATATCCGCCTAGACTTAGGCCAAGAGAAGGCGGAAGATAGTCTACCATCTACTGTGTGGCAACGTTCATCTTTCACCTACCCTATTTGACATGTGGTTGATCCTGTTTCCACCACTTATGCATCGGAGTCGTCTGAATCCCCTCTGTGGGGCTCGGAAACTGGCTTTATCACCAAGAATTGTCCCACTCTGTCTCTTCGAAGACCTCGTATCAGAATGTCACAGCCATTGCTGAACGAGTTGCCTCAAAAGAGTATCCGACTTGGGAGAGATGAGATTATCAGCTGTTCGTCGCAGCGTATGCTCTTCCTGGATGTCCGAAGGCGAAGAAAAGGGAAGAAGCGACTCTTGCCATGTGTCATGAAGAAATTCTTAAGTAAGGCATGTTCAAACTAAATACCTATATAGACCGGTCGTCCCAAGGCGCTGATGTCCTACTGTTGCTGGGTCGGAAAAATAAATACGTTTTAGCCTTCAGCACATGTTGTATATTTGACATCGACACCAATTTTCATGAATCTAGAGGAACTCGTTTCAATATGAGATTCGCGGCCATCGTCACTACGCTCGCCCTCCTTATCGGTTTTGCAGCTGTGGCTCCAGCTGCTCCTGGCAATGCTGTGGAACCTCGCCAGACCCGAGATGGTTTTTATTGTCAGGAATGCGTAAATGGAAAGAAGGACTGCGTTGCCTGCACAGATGGAACTTGCCTGGGATGGGCCTATGACTGCTAGATGGCAACGCCAACTCGTTTCACGACCTCGCGCATAGAGGTATGAATTTGTCCGAAATTAGTCAATACACGTTGATAAGCCATCGTTCAGTCATGGCTGACATCTTCACAGGTCTCGAAGCAAACTGATTCTCATGTCTAGGGTTGAGGGTGTCATCAATGCTGATAGAAAAGTTTGGATATCATGCTCAACGCAGCTCCTACGAACGGAGGAAATAACTGGCGCTTCCAGTACACACAGTAAGATCATTAGATAGCGAAACAAGTAATTTTTGATCATGCGCTCATACCAATTCCCTTCCCAAAATCCCGTGCTCCTTCAACTCAATCGTTACTTTGAACCAACCCCGAACTTGCTATTGCGCCTCACCGGCTTCTCCGAATTCAATTGCTCCCGTCCTGAGTCCTTATCCGTCATAACCGAATCATCATACGAGACATGAACCTTGTTAAACTCCTTAGTATCCTCAAACCATAAAATCATTCTTTGTCTTCGCTCTTACATTGGTCGTCTTGATGATGCCGTTGTAGGTCATAATCTCCTCTTCACTACCGTCTGGTGAGTGGCCTCGGATCTCGGTGTGTGTGCTTCGCATGTCCTTTAGCGGGAACCCATTGCCGACAGTATTCCGATTCAGTCGACCGGTTCCCGTGCCGTTCCCAGTGCCGGCACCGTAACGACCGTATTGACTGCTGTTGTATCCTGCATTGTCGGCGCTGCTCTTGTTGGAGAACATGCCCGGCATCCACTTGCGGAAGAGTGGCCGCAAAGCCGGGACGCAGGCGGCGATGATGGAAAGGTTGACTTCGATTGCGCTGTATGTGTCGCCAATGCCGTCTCGGGGATCGTAGCCAGGGGTGATATTGTAAAACTTCTTTCGGAGTTCGTGGACACGGAGAATGGCCACAATGATTGACCTTCCACAAAGTCAGCATCGAAAGGTTCAAATACTAGGTCAATCCAGGCCTTCTGGGTTCATGACGATCTTTCAGGTGCCATGACTTACACTCCACCTGCTAGGAATACCACTATCAATCCAATCTTGGCGGCCATGCGCATCTTCAAACCGAGGAAGATCCAAAACGGAATGGCGAGAACGAAGAAGTCGGTGATGATGGTGATGATGGCGCTAACGATGTAAAATAGCGGTCCATCAATTTCCCTTTGCTTGGGAATAGTCGCATCCCAGAAAGCGTTTATCGGAAGAGTCTGAAAGAGCACTACCAAGAAAATGGCCACCATTGTCGCCAGGTTGACGGCATTGAGGGCGTAAATGGTCCATCGTACACCGCGCTTATGCCCGCCTAGGCGTAACAAAAATACCAGAATCGATGATTTCACGAGCGCGAGGATGGGATTGTAGAGAACCTGCATGATCCAATTCCAGAACAGCATGGGGGCGGGATCCCAGTCTGCAGGTAGCGCTGCGGTAGGGAAGCCGGCGTAGTAGTACTTGAAGAACATGTATGTTGGAGCCAGTAGTGCCATTGAGAAGAACTGCCATGTTGATGTTAGTCAGGGCAGGCAACACCGAAAGGTGGTGATCGGCACTCTGCCGGTGGAGGCAGGCCTGGTCTTACCATGGCTCCGGTCATGAACCAGTCATCTGATGGAATTATGAGACGAACACTCGACGACAAAAGCTTGGGTTGGATGACTTACCAAGTCCAATCTGTTTTGATGTCCATTTGCTGTACATTCTCAAGGCATAGGTCAAGAATGCAGTCAAAGTGAATAAGAACAGAATCGCCATGATCACCTTCTGCAAAGGCGTCGATGGTAGGTCCTCGACATTAGCCCACCGAGCCTCAACGGCCCGCTGAGCGACGAGTTCCATGTCTGGCCCTCGTCACAAAGTTGAAGAACGAGTATGGAAGTTGAACTGCCCTAATGAAAAGAAAGTAAAGTTTGAACCTCTGCAGACTTGGCACCAAAGTCAAACTTGGAATCCGGGGGTGGAAGAGCAGGCCGGGGAGAGGTCGAAGAAAAGGCTCGGGGGTCGGGTTGCGCGATGGGTCCGTGGGAGAGTTTGTGAGATATATACAAGGTGTTGGGTCTTGAATTTTCTCCTGGGTCACCAAGAGATCGTATCTCGTATCGGCTACTCTTGGGAAGGGGGAGCCCTCAGCATTTCGATCTTGATCTTGGGAACGCTTGGTCAGTGTTCTTGAGCATAGTTGCTTACCATCGTCATCCGTAACAGGAGAAAACCAGGAGACTAGCTATGATCTTACGCTGAACAAGGAAGCAAGGTAACGTCCATCTGAGGCTTCTACAGGAGCAGTGTGTTCAAGTGGACAGGAAGGGGGAGTATTCAGTATTCGATCCTGCCTAGTGGTACGCCAATCATGACAGACCTGCATTCTCTACGACCCCGTTTCATGGTAAGGCTGGGGTCGAGACGGACTAGTCTCGCAACTTCCCGGTCGGTGATTTCCACGGATAGTAAGAGAACAGGGCAGAGAGGAGACTTGGGGTTGCCGCAGGAGACTTGCTGAAGTTCTTCAAATCTCCGCAACTTGGGTTGCATTGCTGCATCCCTGGCCGGAGACCAGAGACCGGCAGCACACTGATTCAGGGTCGTTCCTCCGCCAGCACCAGGCGACATTGAGTCTTGTGCTCGCAGGCTCATTGCCAAGCAGGGAATACTCCTTCAGGCTCCAGGATCCATGGGCTCTGCGTACCCGAGTCTTGCCCTAGTAAATATGAAAAGGAAGACTGGTGAGTGGCTGGTTGTGCAATGGCGTTCGAGAAGATGCCAGGGACCTGTCAAGGATGGCGCATTCTCGAACACTGCTGGCCCTCGTTTATCAGGTTCCTGCAGTCCTCTGCTGCCTCTAGACAAGGATTGCTGCGCACTATTCCAGATAACTTGAAAGCTTAATACCGACAATCCGGTTTCCTTGCTCCATTTGGACTATCAATACGCCATGGAGGCAAGACTGTTCGGTAACGCCTGAGACATCCATGTTGTAGATGGTCCAGTCAGGGAGAAAGCCATCGACGATGAGACATGATGGAATTGGAGGATAGAGTGTAGAGTCACATAATGCAGCGTCACTTGCGGAAGGGCACGTGCAATCAATTGCATTGTCGAATCTGGATTATACAATCATTCTGTATGGGGTATCATTGGTTCTGTATGAGGTGGGTACTTCGTATCATCCATCGAAGGACAGCCTCACATTTCATTCGTACATGCTCGATACTCCTCTGGCTTTGCTGCGTATGCCCAGTCACCACTATGGGAAATTCCATCAACCCTAGGCCAACACATATTTGAGCTGAAATATGTTGTTGGCCGACCGTGTTCTGGCCCAACACGAATCGTATTTTTGCAAAAGCCCACCGGATAGAAGCCTGCCATGCGGTCTTGAATCGGTAAGTGGATTAGTTCGGTCCGCATAGCATCACAATCTGAGTAAGGCGTCGTGGTGGTGCCCGGAACATGGGGCCGGTGAAAGAGATTCATAATACAACCTCGCACTTTTGTTACGCGGTGATTTGTGAATACGACGTTCCCCTCTTTCTTCATCGCATCGGCCGAGGCTTGCGAGGGACGTTTTCGCCTTTGAATAAATGCAGGCAACCACCGTCAGGCACTAGAGGAGCGAGGTGGAGCTGCTGTCTGCGTTGAGCACTAGCGGGTTGGTGTGAATGAATCGTAGAAAGTCCATCAGCGACTCGGATGAAGTCCTGACCCCTTGGCGACCAAGTAGTGATTTCCGAATGTTACCTGGTATACAGGGTTGAAGAAAAACAGAGTTTGCTGTGCCGCATTGGCGCAGGACGAATTTGCAGACAATCATGCAGAGAGGAAAACCCCCTTAAGACGGCAAATATCCCCTCAAAGATTCGCTGTTCAATTTCTGGACTCTGGCGGTGTCTTCCATGGGTTGCAATGAGGGATGCGTTTGGGGCTATGGGAAAAGTCGTACGATTTCTCTCTGCTCGATTTTGACATGTCGGTTGGACATGTCTTTGGTAGATGTGGCCGATTTGATGGTTCATCTACCCGTACAGTCTGATTTGATCTTCCTTAGCTGACGAATTATGAGACATTAGCAAGATCGCAAAGATAAACTCAACGTCTTCCCCAGAGGCACGGCTCGCTATCCACATCCCTTATTATGTGGATAATGGGCAGTTCGCTCGCAAATCCCTCAGTCCTGCCCGCCATTACACCAAACCCCAAGATCACTTTTCGGGGATCCCTAGACTCTGTAGTGGGGATTTACTAACGCGGACAGCCGGAATTTCGTTGCGGACAAGGTACCCAGTGGAGCGGCGGTGCTCGGAAGAGGACAAAGCGTGCAGAAGATTCACCGGGGGGGCCATGTTCCATATGAATGATCTCCAGCTCCCGACACTCTCTTCGCCACCATACCTTTCGGAGGAAGACAGACGCTGATAGGTACGGATAGACTACAAATAGACGGGGCTTATTCAGCTTGGCTTAAGTTGGGAGACGCCTCAGCCGCTATCCAGCGCCATCTCAAGAGACGAGCTCGCCCAAAGGTGCGGTAGACTTTTGCCCACAGACAATGGTCTTAAATCGTTAGTGTCGGCGGTGCGGCGCCGGCACTCGGGAGAGAACGTCTAGAAGAAGTTGTTACCATGGTCTTGGGGACACCAGCCAGCCTGCTACAGTACTTGCGCAGTTTTGCAATGCCGATGCTGTTAATGTCCCGCCGTTGTAACCTCCGGCGCGGGGTTTTAACGACTCTCGCCACCAACGTTGCTCTAGTCTACTTCCCCCCGAACACCTTGGCCAAACAGACATCCAGATCTGTGTAAGCGAGCCCGGGCCCCGGTACAATTCCTGCCCGGGGGCGGACCCAAGATCCCTTCTCGACCAAATTGGCCCTTCCTCCTTGAGTCCTTCACCCTCGTAATTTGGTGAGATGTCGTGGCCTCTGCCGCTATCGAATGCAAGGTCTCCGCCACGACTGCGAGAACGGCCGGGATATGTCGGCGGGCTCAGGTAGGCAGTATCAACCGTGGACTATCGACAACGAGCAGTACGGTAGTGGGAATATCTCGCACTTGTTATCGAACCATACGCGTAGTGTCACCGGCGTGTAAAGGAAGGATGGCAAGATGCAACGCTTCCACGTGGATGTTATAAATCCCGTGGTGTACTGCTCGTTTCTGCACGCTCGCCTCTTTCCCGCCGCACCGCCAGCCACAAACCCGGTGATCAACCATTGGAGGTTCCTGTCTGACAAGCACGCAAACCCGTTCCTTGTCGCGCCCTCTGTCCAATCTTTTACACCTTCAGTCTGAAGTTCTCAACCCCCAAATCTCTTGGCACACAATATGTCGCGACTCAGCCAGGCCCTCCTCCTGGCCGCTGCCCTCCCTCTGGCGTACGCTCAGACCATTGTGGTTGACGATGCAGTAATCGGTATGTTGATCTCGCATTTTGACTTTCCACATGTGAACCCCTGAGGGTTCACATGCGAGTGCTCTGCGACTTGTATCATGACTAACCTGTCGCTCATATTGTAGAAGCCAACAAGTCCACAGTAGCCCCAGCTGCTGAACCCGTTGTCGTTGCCGCTTCCACTGATCTCTTGAAAGAGGAGAGCGTTCAGCTGACGGACGCCGTTCTGGCCAACCTCACGGACCTCTCCCTCTCCAACATCTCCCTATTTGACTTTGACACCACTGCCGCCGGGAAGAAGCGTTCTGGAACGGCCCGCACCTTTAACAAGTGCAAAACTTATCCCGGGGATCTCCTCTGGCCAAACAAGGCAGTATGGAGCGTCTTCAACCTCCTCACCGGATTTGCCGTCACCGAGACAGTGCCTATTGGCGCTTCTTGCTTTGATGACTTTGGCAACTATGATGCCACTCGCTGCCAGTACATCACCAACCAGTGGACCAACTCTACGATCCAGTAAGCCAAAGCCTCTTTTTCCCTACGTTTTGATTCCAACATGCTAATCAGATATGAAGTGCCGAGGATCCAACCTCAGTCATGAGCCCTCTGTACCAGGGCCTGACTTGCATGCCGCCCTCAGTCGACAACAGCTCCGCCGGCACCTGCACCGTCGGTGGCTTCCCCTCGTACGTCGTCAAGGCCACGAATGTGGCACAGATCCAGCTCGCAGTCAACTTTGCCCGCAACCTCAACATTCGTCTTGTGGTCAAGAACACTGGCCATGACTTCAACGGTCGCTCTTCCGGATCCGGTGCCCTCTCGGTCTGGACCCATCACCTCAAGAGCATCAACTTCTATCAGACCTACACCACTTCCTCTTACTCTGGCCCCGCTATCAAGGTTGGTGCCGGCGTTCAGGGCTTCGAGTTGTATGAGGCAGCTGAGAAGTTCGGTGTTACTGCCGTCGGAGGCGAGGGCATGACTGTCGGCTATGCTGGAGGCTACCTTGCTGGTGGTGGTCACTCACCGCTGTCGCCCAAGTACGGCATTGCTGCTGACTCGGTAAGAATGCTTCTTCATATGTTCTACACGAAGCTACTTTACTGATATTGTATTTCTCCAGGTCTTGAGTATCGATGTCGTCACTCCTGATGGACGCTTCGTTACTGCCAACGAGAAGCAGAACACTGAGCTGTTCTGGGCTCTTCGAGGCGGCGGTGGAAGTAAGTTGAGCCATTCACCATCAAAGGAAAAACAAGCTGACCATTCATAAGACACCTATGGTGTCGTTACCTCATACGTCGTCAGAGCCTACCCCAAGATCGACACCATCGCCGTCATGACCTTCAGCTTCAGCACCAGCGCGACCGTCAGCCACGAAGCCTTCTGGGCTGGCGTCAAGGCCTACTGGGAGGGACTTCCCACCTGGAACGCGGCCGGCAACTACGAGTACTGGAACATCTTCCACACCGGCCCCGATGCCCTCACCTTCACCATGCTCCCCTGGTTCGCTCCCAACATGACTCTCGTCCAACTCAAGGAGCTCACCGCTCCGCTGTTCGCCAAGTGGACGGAGCTGGGCATCACCGTCGATCCCGTCTACACCGAGCATAAGAGCTTCCTCCCCGCCTGGAAGGCTGGATTCCCCAAGGAGTCCGTCGGCGGCACAGCCGCCAAGACGGCGTGCCGTCTCTTCCCTACTGAGAACTTTTCCGATGCCACCAAGTTCAACGCTACCTTTGAGGCTATCAAGGGTCTCAGCGACAAGGGCGGTCAGATCATTGGCTTCGGCATCACCGGCGGCCCCGGCCCTTACCCCGACAACGCCGTCAACCCGGCGTGGCGCGGTGCTGCCATGTTTGCCATTTCAGTCATGGGCTGGGACGTTGGCACGCCCGCTGAGGTTGTCGCTGAGAAGTCGAAGCTGTTGACCAACGAGTGGATGAAGCCGTGGCGGGATGTCACTCCTGGCGGTGGCGGATATGCCAGTGAGGGTGACGTGACTGAGCCTGACTTCCAGCAGTCATTCTACGGTACCGAGAAGTACGCCCGCCTTCTCGCATTCAAGCAAAAGATTGACCCCACTGGTGTCTTTTATGCCAACCTGGGTGTCGGCAGCGAGAGTTGGTACGTCACGCGCCAGCTTGATGGCTTCCCGACTCAGAATGGCCGTTTGTGCCGTGTTTGAGTGGATGTTGGCAGTTTTCCAGAGGTAGATGTGCATCAGCTAGATAATGTGTGTAGTTAATAGATGAGATGACAATCATTAAGAGAAACTCGACACGTGATCAGAGGAATATGGAAAACTTTTTCGAATTAGTTTCGCGGTTTTCAGTGACTATTCCGTCTTCTTGAATCAGGGATACCGCAGAGTGAATAGATCGACCAGCAACTCGAGCTCTAGAAATAGACATACGTATCCACTTGCGTGTCCAATCAATTTTCTTGTTATCCTCGCTTTGGTTCACTAATCCTTTGAGCCTAGATATACTAAGAAGACTGCAAGGCAAAATTTATAACATTCATATTACAAGAAGGTCTCCTCCGGCTGGTAGGCATTGATATCAACTAATAGAGTGTTGAAGTAATCGTCTCACATTATTTAAGTGATGGCAGTCATCATAGCATCCAGAAATGGCTAGTGTCTCCGCAGGTAGGGTCTCCAACGCATCTTTCGTGTTAGCTTCATAGTGGCCCGATAAGAGCATGAAGATGAATGAAGTATACGTGTAGGTCTCGTAGAATGTGACAACTGCCTTCATCTCGCTCACAGAACGGTCGTTGCTCGTCCCGCTGCGGAGACTGATAGTAAAAGGAAAGCCCCTTGTCTAATCGACATGCTAGTTTCTATATGCTTTATTCAAGTATTCTATAGCAAGAAAAAAGAACTAGTAATCGTTGCCCCTGATCAATTGTCAAAACAGCGTCTCTAGGGCATAAACTAGCGGGAAGCCTTAGAGTTCGCCTAATTTCATCTCAAATATTGAAATAACACCCCCCTCCCATACCCAAGTACGATGACCGTTGGCAAAGCCACAATACTTGACAAGCAAACTGATTGGATTATAGTCCGCTTGGAATCCGTTCTATAGGTCTAGCCCCCGCAGTTCTTTTGGGCTAAATTCACTCTGCTTCCTCTTTGGCGGTCTACCAGGCCGGGATAGGGGAGCACCTGAGCTGCGCCTACGAGACATGTTAGTCCGGATTATCTCGTCCGAACGCCTATTAGGGCACATCTTCTTGGCCCCCCCTGTGATTCGAAGCGGTGTGTCTTCCCACACGGTCAGACTGGCACTCATCGTTGGTGTAGCCGGGTCTGCAGATCAGTGAGACCACATGCAGGCGTTCGTATCCGTTAATGGTTGGGTGGAATGCCATTATCCCGAAGCAAGCCTATCACAATAATGATCTTCACTTGCTTGATGTCTGTCTCTGCCTGAGGGCTGCGTGCCATGGGCGATGCCGCTGTGGACAGCGTCGATGAAAACACGCCATATGACGAGGAACTGGCGTCAGGTTTGGGGGTATGCCGGACAAGTCCGAGTCCTATGAGAATGAGCTGTACCGTCACTAATGAGATTTCGATCCCTCAAAGTACGAAGCAACGACTGTATTGGGCCGTTGGCCACTCTTGCCGAAGCTGTCAAAGTTGACCGACGATCTTTACCACCTCTCGAAGGTGCATCCTTCTAGAAGCTATGTTGGTGGCTTTTCTTCTTCTTCGTCGTAGCATCGATCGAAGCATGGAAGGACAGAATGTTCTAGTGTGTTGTTGCTATTCAGTAATGGATCCTGATGGCTGCCACTAGGTGGACGTCAGCTCCTGATTTCCTTTGCAGATCGTAGTCCCCAGGACTGCCGAGCTGATGTGGAGATCACATATGACGCAGCATTGAGGAATCGATACAAAAACTCGATGAACTGGTATTATATTGAACTCATTGAGCTCTATGGGGTTTAAAAACTATGACGGAGCTATGATGATGGCAGACTTATATCACAATGGTCACTGTCCAAATGCGCAGAGATGTCAGTCATGTAGATGACGACGATCAAAAGACTATTGTACCGTATTCGCAAAGTCCCAGCCTTATGCGAGAGCATGAATGAGGTTTTCTTTTGGCAGGAGAGAAGACTGTGCGATTATCCGGGGAATATTTCTAGCTCACCCTTACTGTAGATGCTCCTTCTCAGGGTCACGCTTGCAGCAAGCTACCGTGGTTTCCTTGAACCCGATGTATTCAGTACACTCATAGAACATGTAAACATTGTTACTTGAATCTCGCCCCCGGATTCTATTAGTAGACCCTAGATAAACCATCGCAATATCTATGTCACTTCTGAAATTTCATCCAGCTTTCGCCGTCACAATCGCCACTCCTCACAAAAAGACCGGCAATATCTATGGCATCACTATTCCGTACTGCGTCACCCCCAACTGAGGTGGTTGGGTAGATTAATTTCCGGGGAGACCTTCCAATCAAATCGCATCGCTTGGAACAACCCGGAGTCCAATGTTAGATGAGCACAGCGCAAGCTGCGTGAAGGGCGCGCTACGCGACGGTGTAGATGAAAACAATGTGCTTCATGGATCTAGACTAAGTGCTACTAATTGCTTCATAATTTGAACGGAAAATGGCAGTTGAGGAGATTTGGACGAAGCCTTTCCAAAACATTAGTATGCCGAAGAGGTTTGAGGGTCAGACTAGCAAATGGCAATATCCGTTTCTTACTTAGTTATGAGGACGTAAGTAGGCGTCACCCCAAGTGACGTTTCTCAGCAAGATCTCGCCACTTTGAGGCGTGAGAAAAGCTAAAGGGTTAAATTATCGCCAGGAAATCTGAGTCCTCTTCCAGATGGAGGGACGTCTGTCATGCTGAAGACTTATGCAGAGAGATGCATGCTTCTGAATTGGTGTGGGCAAGGCATCGCAGTCTGTTGAGCGAATCAAAGAGGAACATATCACCCTAAGGATTTATCATTTTATGACTTAGCGCCTATCCCCTGTCTAGCGCTTTTCTCGTTTCCCTCGGTGTTGCCGGTCTACAATTCCTTGGTACTGTACAGTAGGTAGTCTCGCATGATCTGCCAAAGGATGCCGGCACCGGGGGGGCAGCCCAATTGCACACGGAAGCAACTATCAGACCGCCAACTGTTTTTCTTTTTCCTCGATGCCAGTGATGATAAGCCAGTGCGCCCCGTCCAATACCGCTGTGAGGTGTACAGCCGATCACATGCGTTAGGAACGGCGGGGAGCTGTGGCGTGATGTTCGAGGGCCTCGACGCTCAGTGTGGACGGACAATCCGAAAGCCCGCTTGAACCATTCATATTCTTGCCAGAGCCTCAAGGTTACCTGTGGGGATATTAATTGGCGTCCCGTCCAAATGTTCAACGGATCTCGACGCCAAGCGCTATCCGTTATAATTTCGACATCAATCATACATCTTGAACCCAATATCCTTTCGCCTAGCACAACCTTGCCTAGCATAACATCGGGACAGTATCTTCAACTCGGACATTGCGATGACTGCCATATCACCAGGAGTTGCCCTAGCCATGGATACGCTGATCAAGAGAGAGGATGAAGGGAATTGGTATCACAGCCCGTTCGCTGCAAAGCTTTGCAGTTGCATCATCGAAATCACAACCGCTTGTGTACTATCCAGCTTCATCACACTGCGTGCAATGAGAGTCAGGAGGAAGGGCTGGCAAAACTTGCCGTGGATCATCTGGCTCGTTTTTCTCATTTACGGAACATCTCTGGCATATTCAGTCTCTGCCCTCATCATGCAGTTTGTGGTTGGAAATGGTACGAGCAAAGCAACATGTAGAGCAACAGCACTGCTATGCCCGATTATCTACATGGGAAGCAAGGTAAGAGTTGTTCATCAATATTATGATGAGTCTTAGCATGCTAAATAAAGAACCTAGATCGTGGGTGCCTATTTTCAAACGAGTTTGATTCCTCTAGTAACATATTTCAGTTCATCTTCCTGTTTCTTGTTGATCGCGCAGTGAGTACACACTAAAGAAAGGCAAATGCCCGAACCCATGCTGAGTCTTGCCGAAGCACGTCATTCGCAGCACCAAGAAAGCAAGGCTGAGGTCTAAGCTATATCTCTGGAACATTTTCCTGGTCATCGGTGGGTTGACTCAACCATGTTTTGCCTCCCTCGGAGCTTCCTGCTTCTGAGGTTCTCCTGCATTTTGGCTGATTTCTAGCGCTAGGCATCTACGGTACGATTAGCAGCTACAACATTGCAGAGTAAGTTTCTGTCCGTAAACACACCATAGGCTAGTGACCAATTCTTCCACCTTAGTACCGTCTGGGATTTGTATGGTGGTGGTTGTCGCATCTACTTTCGATGGCAATCAATGATACCACTCATTGCAATAGATCCACTCGCAACTGTAAGGGATTGCACTGCCGGAGCTCACGGTACAGATGCTTATCATTCTTCTAGGTATACCTGACGATTCTGTTCTTGCAGCCACTTTGTAGTAAGTCAAGCTTTGCGTTCACTGACGTCTTTTAACCGGTCATTAGGGACATATTCGCTGCGGTGGCTACCCTCCACCACCGGTTTCCGTTACTTCCATCCCGTCGCTCATTCTCACAACCCCCCGAACCGTAGGCTTCGACAACTAGCGAAGAGAACCATTATCGGATCGATAGCCACGATGGGCAGCAGTCTACTGTAAGTATTTCAAATATAAGACGACTCCTCGAGGTGATGAAATGCTAACATCACATAGTAACTGCATCACCATAGTGGGTTTGCGGGGTGAGGTTGCGTGGCTATGCATGATGTGTTGCACAAGCGACAGTAAGCCCTTGAAATTTGTTCCTACTGGTTGGAATTAATTGGGCTGATGATTGTTTCAGTTCTATTTTCAGCCATCGTCATTCACTGGATGATGAATAGCAGCAGTACGGGCACCCGTGAGGCCACGGAGGAATCCAGTACCAAGACCTCTACCAGAGCTCTGTGTCAGCAGCGGCCTTCTCCTCCTGGCGTCGCCTCTCCTCGCCCAATTCACGTGTTGTCTAGCCTACGAAGTCATTATTCGGCAGGAGTGTAAAGTTCGACGATGAATGGGGCGAAGCATGGAGATGCATCTGCACTTGCTTCCTTAAAGTAATCAGTTTCGATTGGATCAAGCTCGTTGATGTCATGCCGAATGGCTCGAGTATTTCTGTTATCTTTAATTCTGCCTAGATCGTCCTGTACTATGAGCATACCACAAAGTATAGACATTTCTCACATCTCATCCTACAATCGAAGGCTGCACGTTCGGTTGACTCTTGAGTCCCACATTCGGTCTATCTTCCTATAACTTACAGCTGTGCTATCTCCTCTGTCATAAGTACTACAACACCCATCTAATGTTTTCCAGGCCGATATACCACCTTATCCCTAAGCAACCTGGGCGTATCCGGATCGTGACTCGGCAGCACAACGACATCGTGGCTCCGAGCATACGCCTTAATCTTCTTTAAACTCTCAAATGCCGCCACAGGATCACTATTCGCACCATCCGGCTCCTCCTTATCCAACACACTAATCGCATACGTCGCATCTCCCGTCAGCAAATACCTCGTCTTACTCCCATCGTCGTTGTCCCCCACCACAATCAACGAGATGTGACCCGGCACGTGGCCCGGCGTATCGACCGCGACAATCGTGCCGCCCGGCGCAAGCTCGCACGACCGACCCCAAGGCCCGACAGCGCGCTTTTCCTCAAAATCAAGGATCCGCGGCTCGAAATCCTTGGGCCACCGGTCCGGCGTGCACCCTTGCATAGCAGCATAGACTGGATGCTTCCCAAAGGCATCCCAGTGTTCTCCGCCGACGTAGATGGGCACATCGGGCGCCTCGACAGCAAGAACCTCCAGTCCGCCGGCGTGATCGTGGTGTAGGTGGCTAATGATGATAAACTGCAGATCCGTTGGCTCGATGCCGCGTTTCCGGAGCTGCTTCACGATGCCGTCCTCCTTTGTAACTTCTAGCTTGTTGAGGATGCCCGGCACCGGGTTCCAGCAGGGGAAGTAGCCCGGTTCGGTGCAGTGTGTTGACACGCCCGTGTCGAAGAGGATGGGACCCTTGGGATGGTGAATGAGGAATGCACCAAGGGGCATGGGACCAATCCAGTCGCCGGTGAAGGAGCGGAGGAAGCGGAGAGCGATATTGCGGTTCTCTATGGGTTGACCTTGCATCCCGGTATGCATCCAGACGTTGCCGGTGGTGATGAACTCGAGCGAGATCTTGTCCGTGGGCGCCATGATGGCACCTTTTTTAACGTCGCTTTCGGGGATGTTTGTGTGCTCTTTCCGTGCTTTTCTTCGACTCTTCGGCTCTTCGTTGATACCAAGCTAGGTAGTGCTGTCCTCTTCTATACGACAACTGCGATTGATGACGGCTTCCAAGATTTCAGGTCGATTGTCAGTCGAGGGGTAAAAAACGCTGAAGTCAGGCTAACCAACGTTCGTTTGGCCGCGCCGGATTCTTTAAGAATGGTCCCATCAGCTCCATTATGCAGGCACCCGTTTCCCGGCGCGGTGCAAGAATTCCTGTGGCCGTATTCTGGCCAATTATGAGCATTCCGATAAGCATTCAGCTCCGCCAGCCGCAGTCCGCCCCCAGTGCGAAGATGTCAGCAATGAGCATCCCTGGCAACCGCAGGGCCCCTTGCTGGAAGAGGCGCATTCCAGTCAGCCTCGAAATCCATCGGCCAGCAGTTTCCTTGTGTGAGTGTGAGATATTACTTATGTATCTAGTCGATGAGTGTGTTGAGAATTGACGGATGGTTGATCCCGAAAACATGGTTATGGGGTCGACCCGGCGATGCGGCACACTAGCAGGGATGCAGATGACCATAGACATTCGGACGATCGGACAGACTTATCTTTGACTAGCTTCTACCCTCGATCTTTGTGTATTGTCTGTCGTTGAGCGGCCTCATCTGGATGCATATGTTCAATCTTTCGCCAGAATTTGTTCCTGAAGTTGAATCGCAATGCCAGGATCTGAAGATCTTGCCTACAGAAACCACCGAGTGAAAACTAGGTGAGTACGCTTGGCGCACGGTGGGAAAAGATCTCTTCCCTCACGATTATTTTCGAGGTTCTCAAGGTTCTCAAATCAATTCGATTCTATCGCAGGTCTAGTTCCATTCAAATTCGGTCATCCGGCTACAGTTGCGCTTGTTTCAATGTTCTTATGATACGAGATCGGCCCTTTAGCATGGAAATGTGTGTCCATGACACCATCCGCCTTGCTCCTGAAGCGGAAAGTACTCATCATGACCAAAACTTGTATGGAGGTGCCAGAGTAACCTACAACATGTTTCTCGGCCGACATTTGCACTGCGCTATAGAGAAAAGCACGCAGATGTTCGAGTTCCAGGCCCGGCCTGAGCTTCTGGGAAAGCGGCCAACTTCCGGTCACCCCTCCGGTCACCCCTCCGGTCACCGGACCCGTACCGAGTCGCAGACCGACCTGGCCACCGATTCACCGATTCACCGAGGTGAGTCGAACCGATAGGGATTTCTTATTCCCGTAATGCCGCAGCGCATCGCAGCTCGCCCTGCAATCTGCTTTTAAGCTCCCTACGGACCCTACCCCAGTTTCAACCTTTTTAAGTAACCAAATTTCCGAACGCGAATTCCCACCCAGGCATCGCAACAAGCATCTAGACCAGGCTATCGACCTCGTCTGCTTTATAAGAAATATCAACAAGATGAGAGCACAGATGACACCATAGACACTAACGGAAAACCATCACCAACCCCCCAGCTGTCCCCTTCTCATCTCTGAAGCCTTGACTGGCCCTCTCTCCCATGACAAGCTTTTGCGCTAACAGCGCGCAACACAAGCACGGAGTAATTCGCACAGATGCCTCGACTCGCGCTCTTCGTTTAAGCTTTGCCAACCCTCAGGATGACCCCTGCCGTGATTCCCCAAAAGCATGGAGACACCTTCAGACGTTGCACCGAGAACAATTTGCACCAATAAGCAGACTGCAGTCTCCTCGGGTAGGACGGCCATGTTCATCTGATCAAAAACCCTTTGGAAATCCGGTTAGCCGTCTTTTAAACGAGTTCAGCAAATCTAGCTTCCGCCCCCTCCACTCAGTACGGCGCAAGCAGCCCAAAAACAAGTGCCGGCATCCCGTCTTGGGCCCGCGTCTGGGCGAACTTTCCACTGCATTGGGGCAGTCATTCTGGAAGAATGGAACATCAGGAACAAGGCACACACTGCACGGCGCGAATGGTTCCGTCGTCACAACTTCTCTTGAGCCAGCCTACAAGCGCTCCCGTCGGCTGACCCGTTCGAAAGGGGAAGAAGTTCTGCACTTCAACGCGGGGTTAGACTCAGCTTAGTCACTTTTTCTCTTCGACCTAACTTCACTTCCTCGCGCCATCTTTCCGAGTCTACACATAAACTGATAATGACCCCCCCTAGTTGAGGTGAGAGTCCCGTGCACTTCGCCTGAACGTAACGGAAAAATACATACTCTATAGACCCGAAGACTACCCATGACCCTAATCCTAGCCAATGACCCGAACCCAAGCCCCACCCTAACCTCTAACCCTAGCCGTTATAGGCTTAGATCGTGCACGGTACTCTCATCTCAACTATATATTTTAACTATATTAGGCTAGAGCCGTGCACGGTACTCTCACCTCAACTAGGGGGGGTCATTATCAGTTTGTCGCATCACTCATCTTTCCCACGAGGCACCAGACACCTCAACTCGGGCCACAAGAGGGGACGAGCTATTGCTCTCTCTCCCTCATTAATCTCACCAGTATTACTCAACTTACTGTGTACGGCGACTCGGGTCGTATTTAGTCGCCGAAAAGGGCAAGGCTTCTCCGCTGGGAACATCCCAGCTTGGAAGCTCCATACTCCGCCCTCAGTCCGCGTGGTCGGTGGTCCAACTCTCAGTGCTCCACGATGTTGAGGACGGGCCACCTCAACGACGAGAGCCCGCGATTGGCGGAGATTTCCATTGCTCGACGACGGACGTCATGAAACACGAAAGACAGAGCCCACCTCCCCTCCAACGCCCCTTTCTAGCACACAGCAACCACTGAACCAGATTAATTGTATTGCGCCATCGGTTAGCCGTAAGTGGAGAGGAGTAAGGGATGTCTATGGTTTGGACGCTGTACACCATCTGAGTGGCTCGGTTCCTGTCCAGTAGCAATGTTGTGATAATGCTCTAACAATCAGACGGACTAAGTATACTCAATGACAGTCGATCTGAGCAGTCTTTCACTTGTGATCCGTCCATGCAGCAGACACCAGAGAGATGAGCCAGCGACGGAGATTCGAGGAATGCAGCCACCAGGCCCCTTTCGAAACGAAGCAGCACCGCCGTCCTCCGTGTGCGGGGCGGAGAGGAGCCCCGATGTGACCTCAAGTGCCGCTGCGAGCCTGCGGCTCGTCTGATTGCTGGTCTTTTCCTTGCCTTGCAGCCGCTCGCTAACGTAAAAGTCTACTCTATATGGCACACCACGAGGACCGGCCCCCCGGTGGTCTACCGCTGGAGCAATCCGCCGCTTTCCCGTTATTGTGGTCTCGCCCAGGACTCGACCGAGATGGGGAGGACCCGGTCACCCGGACGAGTGGAAACCACCCTCGTCGAGTTTAACTGGTGTTCTTCCACATTGGCGATATTGAGGAGGCGTGTAGGCGATCGTTGGAAACAAATGAACCGGGGTCGAGGGGGTGCACTAGACTCTAGTTAATATTGGCTGGAAGATGGGATTTCCCACGTATCCCGGCCCTGACGGAAAGCTTGTCAAGAGTCACTTAAGAGTCGCTCTCCTATAAGCTATAAGGCACAGCTTCCTTCCCCCAGTCTGAAGCCTTCCACCCTATCTTCTCGCGAGACACATACACATCCCTTCGCTCGTTCCGGAGAACCCTGTCACTCTTTACCTCACCCACAGTCCTTCTCTCAAAACAAGACACGATGCGCACTAACATCGCCCTCCTCGCCGGCTTCCTCGGCCTGGCCTCCGCCCTCCCCACCGACGCCGAGTCCGTCGAGAAGCGCCAGACCGTCCCGACGATCTACCTCTGCGGCGACAGTACCACAGCTAAGGGCGGCGGCGGCTCCGGCACCGAGGGCTGGGGCCAGTTCCTGCAGTACTCCTTCTCGACCAGCAAGGCCAAGGTCGACAACCGCGCCATCGGCGGCCGCAGCGCGCGCTCCTACACCCGCGAGGGCCGCTTCGATACCGTGGCTGGGCTCGTCAAGTCAGGCGACTGGGTCGTCATTGAGTTTGGTCACAATGACGGCGGCTCGCTTACGCCTACCGACAACGGACGGACGGATTGCTTTGGTGATGGTGCGCAGACTTGCTCGACTACCTACAAGTGAGTATTTGCTGGGTTGCTAGGGTTCGTGATGAAGAAGACGATGCTGACTGTTGTGAAGTGGTGTTGCCGAGACTGTTCTCACGTACCCTGCGTACCTCAAGAATGCCGCCAAGAAGTTCAACGCTGCTGGTGCCAAGGTATGATCACCGACTTGGATCTCTGATCTCACATGAGTATCTGGCTTACACTCATCTCGCAGGTCATCATCGCTGCCGCGACCCCCAACAACGTCTGGGAGACTGGCACCTACAAGTTCGGATACGATCGCTTCTTCTACTACGCCTGGTAAGCCCTCAACCTTCTCATCATCCAAACAACCATCAGACTGGAGACTAACACCAATACCCAGGCTCGCCGTTGAGCAGCTCGGCGGCCCCTCCAAGGGCTACTACTTCGTCCCGCACGGCGAATACGCCGCCCAGGCGATGAAGGGTCTCGGCGCGACCACCACCAACGCGAACTACCCCAACGACCACACCCACACCGCGCCCTTCCTTGCCGATGCTATTCACAAGTCCTTTGTCCTCGGCCTCAAGTGCGGCACCACTGCACTCGCCGCGCTTGCTAAGAACACGACTGCTTCTCTGACGTCGACCTACCTCGGCGGTTGTGTCGACACGTACAACTCCACTGTCCACGCTCTCCTGCGATAAATGCACTCTTTCTCCCCGTTCATATTCATTAAGATCTTATCTCAAGTACATAAAACTTGGATTCATGTACATACTTCAGCCCCTGGGGGCTTGTTCGGAGTCGATGGCGTATACTCCTCCGAGCCGAGCGTATATATATCACAGTGCACGTAAGCACTTCTGCTGCCTCTACCGCTGTCTTCACTTATGGACAGTGACTTCAAACTGATTCTTCTTCGAGCTTGTGATGATTCTGCCATGATGCTATTGCAACTACAGTGTTTTGTTATACTACCATATGTCAGTCATTACCTTCCCCCTCCACTACGTCTGATCGACGACCCGCGCGATCAGCATCCATGAGCTACAGGCGCTTAGAGGTGATTAACCTTCTACGGCATTCATCATTGAGATTAAGATCTGATGATCTCTTTATACCAGGGATGGGCGTTGCCCGAATATCTCATCTCGGCACCCCAGGTTTCAAGCAATGTTATCAGGCCCTCAACCACCCGTATGAGTCCGACGGCTCAATGTTACTTTGGTGCGCAGCTCAGAAGAATTAAGGTTACGACGTCGCCTTCTCCAAGACCATCAAACTCGGCAAATCCATGGTGAACCATCGGATCCGACATCCTACCTTAGCCCAGCATAGTCGGCCTCGGACCGCCTTGGATCCGGCGGGGGAGGCTAAACAAACTTGAACCATTCAAGGGTTCGACGTCATCACATCTTTGACGACACCATACGAAAGACTCATCAATCATCAGAAGAGAAGCACACCAACTCAACTACGAAAAGACCAACAAACCATTGCCTTCACTCAAAACCTTGCCAGCCTGATCGAAACTCAATCACCCAAGCCCGCAAAGATGGCTACCACAGAGATCCCCAAAACAATGAAAGCAATCCGCGTAACATCCTTCAACAACCCCTACGAAATCCAAATAATCCCCGTTCCCTCTCCCACCTCTCTAGCCCCTCACGACCTCCTCGTCAAAATCGCAGTCGCATCCTACTGCCACACAGACAGCATGGTCTCCTCCGGCATCTTCGCCACATCCCTCCCCTGCACCGCATCCCACGAAGGCTCCGGCACCGTCGTCGCTGTCGGCTCGGCGTCCGCATCCTCAGACTTCAACTTCAAAGTAGGCGATAGAGTCATGTGCGGTCTCCCGCTTCACCCGTGCGGATCCTGCTTCGACTGTACTTCTGCACCAGAGACCTTTCGGCAGTATTGCAGCCGCATCGAGGGCCACGTCGGGGTCCATGTGGACGGGTGCTTTGCGGAGTATGTCAAGGTCGACGCGCGATCTACCGTGCCGATCCCGGATGCCGTCTCGTTTCTCAGTGCCGCTCCGCTGGCGTGTGCTGGACGGACGGTCTGGAGGGGTGTGGTGCAGGCTGGGCTGAAGGAGGGCCAGTGGCTTGCGATCCTGGGGTCAGGAGGCGGGCTAGGTCATTTGGGGATTCAGATTGCCAAGGCTTTGGGCTTGCGCGTCATTGGCATCGATGCGCGGGACGAGGGGTTGGAGTTGACGAGGACGAGCGGCGCGGATGTGGTTCTTGACGCGAGGAAGAAGAAGGAAGATGTTGTGAGGGAAGCGAAGGATGCTGCGAATGGAGGGGAGGGTGTAGATGCCACGCTCAACTTGTCTGATGCGGATTCGGCTGCGGCTCTGGCTTGTGCGGTGACAAAGATGCATGGCACGGTGGTGCAGATTGCGCAGCCTGATGAGGTGAAGATCCCGTTCCAGGAACTGGTATTTCGGGATGTGAGGGTGAAGGGGAGTTTGCTGTGTTCAAGGGAAGAGAGCGTTGGGTTGATGGAGCACGTTGCGAAGAATGGGATCAAGCTCAAGACGAATGTCTTTCATGGTTTGGACAAGATTCATGAGCTTGTTGAGCTTGTGCACACGGGGCAGATGAGCGGCAAGGCTGTCATTGTGGTTGACGAGCAGCAGATGAAGGATGAGAAGAAGCTCGGTGCGAAGTTTTGATGATTGAATTAACGAGATCGCAAATGACCTCACTCTTAATGCTGATAATTATGATACAAATGCAATACCCATACGTAAATCATGACTCTGCGGAGCGGTTGTGGTTGACCACGTCCCTCCTTTCCTTATCCCAGGGGCTTCCACCACGGTTCGTCGGCGTATCAGGCGAGTGGCTCACAATCTTGGTATCGACTGGAGACTGCCTGGGTTTCTCATTGCTCTTGCTGGAACTCGTGAAGAACCCTTGGATCTTGGACCCAATGCCTTCTCCCGAACTGCCACTGCTTCCAGAGGTACTAGGACCGTTACTCTTCCCAGTCAGTGCCCCCGTCAATGTACTCGACCCAGGCGTCATAGAAGGACCATGCGTCTCAATCGCCCGGGTATTCGAGTTTGCCCTTCCTGGTCCGCCTCCAATCTCCCCAGCGTCAGAGGGGAACTTGTCCTTGGGACCCTTGGGAGTATCACGGTCGGCGCTGCTGCCGCCTCGATTGCCGGTGCTCAGCTCCGCGCCACCGGTGGCACCCGTGTTGGTGCCGATGCCTGCGCCGCCGAGGCCATTGTCGCGTTTCGCGTCGGCGGCTTTCTTGCGCTGCTCTGCGACTGCGTCGGAAGACGGGCGGGAGTTATCTGTGTTATTTGCGATTTGTTGGGCAGGGTCGCCTGCGGTTGCAGAGGGCTTGCGGACGTAGTAGATGCCGCCTCCTAGAAGGGCTGCTGCGCCCATTAGGGGGACTGCGTAGTTTTGACGGGACATTATGTGAAATTTGTTCGAGGTGTGAATTGTGAGTTGTGTAGTTGTGGTGATTTGAGGTAGCAAACTTCCTTCGTAGAAAAATTGATTGGAAGAAGGGTTGATGGAGGTAAGGTAAGGGAGGTGAGTATGGATTCTGTCCAGCTTGTATCAATGAGCAAGCTCAGAGCTCAGCTTTGTTTTGCTGAGCTACCTGTGACGAGTCCATGGCATCATCCAAAGACCAGCTCTTTCGCTCCATGGTGTCTCATGCGAGGCGTAAATCGATGACAGCTTCTCATGTGGGCAATGACATCAGCATATGGTGCGAACGGTCCGCGCTTGCGGAGCTACTAGACGTTCCATAACCGATCGGCAGGGACCAACTTGAATGATGAGGCCATGATTCGTCAATGGGGTTAGTCGCAGATTAGTCGCGGCCCATTCTCCAGAGAATGAGCTAGTGAGACATTTCCATCTGTGAACTGGGGATGAGGCTTGGTTCGAAATGGTGTGGTTGTTCAAGTGGAAAAACTTCTGCTCGAGAGGCGTACTCATGTCCTACGGGACGACAAGCAACCCCATGCTCTCTGTGTGGCAGAGATCAGATCGGATCGGATCGGACGCAGTGGACCGGTGCCGATCGTCACATTGCCGGCCCCAAGTGGGCAATCTGCGGGTTCTTGGCTCCACGCTCCACCCAGGAGCTCCGGTTTCTCTCCCGGACCGGCGCGGCATCGGATCGGATCAGAGTTCGATGCTCTTATTCAACCAGACGCAGGAGAATCATCACATTTTCTCTATCCCTGGGTATCGCCAGTAATCGACTCAAGCCCCTCTCTTCAACCCAACACCCTGCTCCTCCATCCAACTCTTCCTCATTCCCAGTCGTCTCCTCAACACCATACACCCAGCCCCCGCAACTGAAGCCGCGAAACAAAGCGCCTGCAAAATCACAAAGCCCGTCCCAAACCGCCCATTGACATCCCCCTCCAGACCCCTCGGCCGGTTAACATATTCCTTCAGCAGCATCCCGTTCCCTCCCAACGTAAACGCCGGCAAAAACGCCGCAGCCGGCAACATAAACCAGCACCACCCGCGATACCGATCCCAAAACACCGGCGGCAACGCCTCAATCTCCGCTCTCGTCCCGCGCGGACACGGACACACGCGCTTGATACATGAGAAGTAGCACTGGCATCGCAACCAGCTCGGCCGCACGGCGATGAGCAGCTCCGTGACGAAGAGGTAGGATACCACGACGAGCGCATATACGAGGGCGATGTTGGCTGTCGCGGTGGGGAGGATGAGCCACGATTTGCGAAAGGCGCTGAGGAAGGGGTTGTTCTGGCAGGCGTCTTGGGCGAAGTGGTAGCATGCCCATTCGGACTCGGGGAGGCGGAGGGCGTGAGCGACGGCGCCGAAATCGTAGGGGAGGTGAGGGGATGAGTCGAGAGTGCCTGCGAGGGATTTGGATGGGTAGGTATAGGCGAAGGAGGCGGCGAATTGGTGCATTGTTACGAGGTAGGTGTTTGGGTTCGTTTGTGATGCGATGATGCCGTCGAACTGTGGGTTCGTGAGGGTCAGTTTATGTTGAAGAGTTCGCGATGATCAAGGGGAGCCTTCTGCTTACCTCCACTGTAGCGAGGCTCGACAGCCCAAGACGTTGGGCACCGTTGCTGTCACGGATTACCCAGGTGCCGGCCGTGAGAGTCAAGATCTGGACGAGAGCGACGAAGAGGGCGAAGATGAACGCCAAAACGAGCAGCAACGGGCGCATGAGATGCCGCCGACCAGGTGAGACTGGCTCTGATGGTGAATGATCCATTTCGGTGACTTTTTTACCTTCAGTCGTGTTCGATCCAGATTGTCAAGCTCTTTGTTTCGCTGCCTGCGATGTGGTTGATGCAAAAGCCATCAACACTTGGAACCCCAGCGTTTACGACGCAGACGAAACTGTGAAGGCGCCGGTAGAACTGATAGTTTTAGCCTCAAGGGATACGGGAGATCTTAACTGATCATCTTTTGGCTGGTAGGGTCTCAGTCAGCTTCAGCTCGGGGGCTGTGCTGCAGCGACGGAGTTCCTCGCGTCCTAAAAATGGTCATCCCAAACAAGCGTCGGGAAGGATTCTTAGTTTATTGGCCAAGTTCAACCATGCGGTTCGTATTTCGTCTTGTTCAAGGTGATCATGGCGCCTTCAATCAAAAAGATCAAGATATGAGTTGTGTATAAGCAGGCTCATAAGACTTGCTGATCATTATCAAGATGGATGATTCGTCGCGATGTA